TAGTTGTTGTGTAGCAAGCATGGCATTTCAAGATCCACCTGAAGATCCAAACGCAATAAAGTGTAAGACATCTTTCTCAGCTAATGAAGCATGCAAAAGAAAAAGTGTCAGAATCTGAATCATCAAGTGTACCTGTTTAGTTGGCGAATCTGCATTCCTCCGGGAGCAAGCAAACGCAAACCCATTTGAAGAATAACATTTTGCATTGCAAAGTCACCGGTAATACAAGCTACACTGGACTCAGATAAGGCTCTCAACGACCAACTCTGCTCGCTGCTACCATCATCTGCCATCGATGATGCCTCAAATGTCTCCCCAGCCTCACTCGCAACGTCGATCCCCTCAGCTTCAATATCATCCTCACCATCAATTAAAGCAGTTTCAGCACTCGCCTCTTCTTGGAGAGACTTTAATGAATCTTCCTCCAACCTCATATCTTTAAGGACGGAAGAAAGATCCTCGTCATTCTTTGCACACTTGTCATCAGTTGAGTTCTCAGTCATGTTACCACCAGCTTTGTCAGCTTCAAGATCTTGCTGCATATCTTGTTCAGCCAAGGCACTGTAATGTTCCCACTTGGCCTTTCTTCTAAGATACTTTCTGTGAGTACTCTTACTAACCGCAGGTCTCCAGGCACCACCAGCATCGTCATCATCACATTCGCCTTTCGACGCATCTACTCCCTCCACTACCATCTTACCCTCAAGCTTCACCTCTGTTTTCTTTGGCGGGTATCGCTTCTGCCTCCTCTCACCTTCTTGCTCATCTCCTTCTTGATGCGACACAAGAGAACCAGCCTCAGAACAGGTGTCAGAGGGAAGGATATTCATGTTAAGGTCTTTAAGCGGGAGGATTTTGGAGTTTGGATCAGTTTTTTCCTCGGTCTCGTCTTCTAATGCTTCCCACTCCTCCAAGTTGGCTACATTGGATCCCCAACCAGGTAAATCCTTCTCAGGTAACCTCTTTACTGTAACAGTTTGAATCGGTGGAGGAACCTCTCTGAGATGTTCCGTGCCATGAACCTGAGCCTCGAGCGTGTATGTCAAAGCAATCAGTTTTCGATCAACCTTAGAGAGCGTTTGCAAATCACCAGTAGCTCTAGCAAATTTCTCAACTGCAGGAAGAACAATAAAGTCAAGCGTCAGAGATACAAGATAATCCATCTTCAGCACAACATTAGAGATTTGTGAAATCGATCCAAATTTCACCATACAATTTCAAAATAACAAGCTCAAACAAATCAAAAACGTACATTTTCTACAAATTACACAGAAGCAGGGTTAAACTTGATCATCGAATTCAAAACCTTAGTTGCGAAATTGAAGAATTGTGTACCTCTGCTGAGAGAATCAGGAGAAGGTTCCATCTCTTCGATAGTAAATGGGAGGAGGTAGTTGAGACGGTGGCGAGAAGCTGCGTCTTTAACCTCGGAGATTACTTCAGGGACGGTTACGAACTTGTCGGCGAAGTTGGTTAAGTTCTGTCCTCCATGAATGATGGCGTTGGCATCAATCACCGCAATAGAGATTCCCTTTGTGGATTTGCAGCTTCCGACCGTCCCGAGAATCGCTGCCGGAGCTCCATCGGTAGCCGGAGGCTTCGTAGGAGGGTCTTTCTTCACTATGGAACTCCACATCGTGGTTGGATTCGGATCCATGGTTTGGAGTTTCGTTACTTGCCGCTCTAATGGAGGAGACTGAGAGAGAGAGAGAGAGAGAGAGGCGACGAAAGAAGAAGAGAGGAAATAACCTAGCGCTGACACAGCGTCGTTTTGCTCACTTGTTTAAAATGGGCCTCATGCAGGCCCAAACAAATAGGTTTAGATCATTTGTTTTATTAAAATTTTAATCCTTATTAAATTTGTGAAGTAGAATTAGTTATAAACAAATCTAAGATACTTTTTTGTTTCTTTCACTTTTTGGTTTTCTTAGTTTTCACTATTTTTTATTCTCTTCATAGTTCATACTACTTGTTTAATAAGAGTGTCCATTAAGTATTAACACACTATAGCATTTGGTTCACAAAATAATAAAAAATGCTTTGATTCACATTAATTAGGATGTAGAAAGAAAAAAATCCTTTACAGTTCCCTCCAGTCAAAGGTACTAATAACTTGAATCAAAGCATTTGAACGTGAAAGGCTGCTAAGGTTCTTCGTGTGATAGCTATTGTTTGTTCGAAAGAACAATATCATGACATGGTCTACAAAGAAAAGCGAAGGACCATGGAACATTCCACAAGACAACAAGACAGATGATAAAGTTGTTTGAGATTTGTAGTAAAAATGTTAAGATTCTCTTAACAGAATTAGAAAGTAGATTTGATTAATTTTTGTTTGTGTTTTTTACTAACTTATTAAAAAGACAAACACAAAAGTTATAAAATAGATGGTGCCAAACCCAAATCTGTTCCAGGGAACTTTTTTCCACAAATGCCTTTAATGACTTCTGTATTGACAGCTTTGGAAGGAAGGACAAGCAAGAGGCAGTCAGGAAATATTGATCTCACTGCTTTGCAACAAATTTCCGACAGATATCTTTCATCATGATCCGCCGCAAATCTCACCGCCTTGAAACATCCCGTCACTTTATCTATCGCCGTAATCTTCGGACATATGGACGTATTCGACTGACTCTGAGCTTCCAATGGTCGGAAAATCAACGCTGAGATTAGGGTTAACAAGAAAAACATCACACAGGTTTGGTTTTGTTTCATTTTTGACAAGACTAAAACAAAAAGATCGATTTTGTCTAGGTTTGGATTGTGTGATGAGATATTTGTTTCTTGTAGATAAATAGAAAAAAAGAGTTCTAATACTTAGTCGTTATGTTGGAAATTTTGTTATACATATAGAAAAGATACGTAGAGAAAGTATGACTTCAAGAAACCAAATATATTTGGAAAGTTTATATATTTGTTTGAACGATATGAAGATATTAAAAGTCAATTATGTAACGCTATCATGGAAAGTGTATATAAGCTCTTTCCATTGTAAATCTTTCTTCTCTCCAACATGAGGAATCAATAATGTATATAGCATATCCACACTATTGAGGGGAAATAAATAAATTTTATCACTTAACCGATTTCTTAAGATCAAAAAACTAATTACAAGTTTACAACATTTTGATTGGAGTTAAAGACAAATATATAAAATGGTTTGTATTGTTATAGAGATTTGATGTAAAGTTTTTTTCTTTCGATTGAGTCAAGAAACTCGACTTTGCGAAAAAGTGATTATTACATTCCTTGTTTTGATTACAATGGGGATAACCGACCGACAAATTTATTTAAATATTCCACAAGACAAGACAATGAAACATGGTCTTCAAACAAAAGCGAATTGGACAATGAAACATTCCACAAGACAAGACAGATGATACATTATTGTTTGCAATTTGTAACATGTAGAGAGCGAATTGGACAATGAAACATTCCACAAGACAAGACAGATGATACATTATTGTTTGCAATTTGTAACATGTAGAAATTACCTTTGATTTTTTATTCTTTTTAACTATCTCATTAATTAAAAAGACAAACGCAAGAATTATACTCCAAATAGTTGGTCCGAACTAGTTAAGGTCTCGGGAACTTTTTTCTACAAATGTCTTTGAAGATTTCTGTATTGACAGCTTTATTAGGATCGACAATCAAGAGGCAATCAGGAAGGAATGCTTTCACTGCTTGGCAACAAAGTTCTGTTAGGAATCTCTCATCCCCATACGCCGCTAATCTCACCGCATCAAAACATTTCGGCACCAAATCTAACGGGTTTTTCGTCGGACATGTGAACGTAGCTTCCAATGGTCGGAAAATCAATGCTGAGATTAGGTGTAACAAGAAAAACATCACATAGATTTGGTTTTGTTTCATCTTTGACAAGTTTCAAAGAAATAATCGATTTTGTGTAGGTTTGGATTGTGTGATGAGATTGATTCGGGTAAATATATAGAAAAAAAAGACTTCTAAACTTAGTCGTTAGCTAGGTTGGCAATTTTGTTATTCATATAGAAAGTTTGAACAAAAAAGAGTTTGAACAAACACAGAATATATCTGGAAAGTTTATATACTTGTTTGACCGATAGGAGGATATTCAAAAACAATTATGTGATGTTATCAAGGAAACTGTATATTAGCTCTTTCCATTGTCAATCTTTCTTCTCTTTAATATAAGGAAAATTATTAAATATTAAGAATCAATAAAGTATCTCCCTCTTCGAATCCATGTGACCATGTTAAATACTTAACCGATATCTTAAGATCGTAAAGTTAAATACTTACAGTTACGTGTGAATCAAGAAACTGGAAAATGGAGTTTGTATTGTTTATAGAGATCTGATGTGAAGTTTGTTTTCTGTGTGGAATTTATTAATTCTTATTAGGATTTATTATGATTTTTCTTTCTGTATGAAGATTGATTGTGTGTCAAGAAACTCGACTTTGGGGAGAAAAAAGTGACTATTACATTCCTTGTTTCGATTACAATGGGAATAACCGGCCGAGTTATTCAACAAACCAACGATCCGTGAAACCGGTTTTGCGTAACCACGATTCAATTTTTTTATTCTTACATTTTAGATTGAAAACCCGGTTTAGATATGGTTCCCATTTCCCGCTGCTTCTGAAATCTTTCTTTGGCTTTGAAAAGGATCTCATGGGCCTCATCAAAGTGAAGCATTGTCGCCTTTCTCGTATTCTCAATCCATTCTTCAACTCTCTTATGAGGACTGAGAAGTCTAACACGATCTTTCTCATCCAAAACCTGCAAGATTGCATTCACAATCAGAAGCTAAATTCAGCAAGAAAATGTTCTTTTTGTATGTGTGTGTGTGTGTACCTGCAGCTGCATGAGCTCGCAAACGAGGCTAAGATCAGCTATAGATGGTTGGTTGCTTCCAAGCAAGAACTTAGCATTGCCCTTAAGCCAAAAAGTCTCTAGAGTGGACAGAGACTTTGCTAGTAGCTTCTCAGCTTTAGCAGCTGCTAGCGAATCTAGAGGAAGTCCGAGAGATGGAGCTAAAACACTATTCAGAACATATCCAGCTGAAATTGTAAAAAAACAACCTTAATCAACAACACGAAGCTGTCATTTTATTTCTGAATCTATATGAGAATAATGTGTATTACCTGCACCAGGGCGTAAATTGGTGTGATGCCAGTCCAAGACTGAGTGAATCTTGACTCTTGTAGAAAGATCACTCGGGTACCTAATGTAAACAGAGCGAATATTAAAGTTAAGAATGATCACACTTTTGCGTCAAGAACATGTGTTAAACGAGTACAAACATACCAATGATGAGCTACACTTGGGAATGCTGAAGCAAGATAAATTAGAATGGCGTGACTGTAAGAAGATATCACCGGTTAAGATTCATAATCAATGGTTAGATAAAAGAAGCAAGAATCCAAAAGATCAAGACTTTTGTTGTTTAACCTCTCGAAGAGCTTAAGCCTGCCATCAACAATAGCTGGAACTTTCCCCAATGGGTTAATATCTGAGAAACAAAGACACAATTCATATGAAATCTCTGCATTTCTTAACGGCAAAGACCAAACCAAGACAATATTTCCATTTTCAATCACGATTTCAAGAAGAACATTTCCTCAGGTTATTGTTCTTGAGGAGAGCTCAGATACCAAAACACAAAATTTCTCAGAATCTCAAGCATTTCTTACAGTTATGCTCTGTTACATAAGGTTTAATAGATAACTATAATCCATTTTCAACTACAGTTTCAAAATGAACTTAGTCACAAGGATGGATAGAGAAGCCTTTTTCCCAATATTCAACATTGAAACACCAATTTTGGAAGATTTTGTCGAGCTCTTCAGTAGGGATATAGCCAAATTCTACAGTATGAAGCTTCTCACACACACAACCAGGTCCAGTGAACATAAATCTCTCAATACTCAATTTCTAAAGCTGATTATAGATTACTCATACTTGTGCAAGCTAAAGCAACTCTTAATCGAAATCACCCATGTGAAATTTCATACGAGCACTAAACATTTCTGCATAAATTACGAACCTTTGAATTCAGGGGATAATTGCTGACGTTTCGCCAGGGAAATCAAAATCTCAACGAACTGGATTCCGTTAACCCTTGAAAAAAAGTATAAGAGAGAAAAATCTCATGTATAAGAGAGAAAATTAGAAAAGGCTGAATCTCGAATTAACAAAGGAAGGAAGAAGAACTAAATTACTTGCAGAATATGATGACAGCACGAGACGGCTGTGACATCCGATCTGCGTACACTTTGAGCTTCATCATCTTCTTCTTCTTCGTCTGATTTGTGGATCAGAAAGTTTCAGGACACACTGAAGAAGAAGATCTCACGAACAAGTTTGCTTGCTGTTCCCAAAATACACTGTAAGCCTTCGTGCCGTTAATTATTTACAAAACGGCAAACCGTTTTGTTTTTACCCATAAACACAAACGAACATATCTAGTCGGTCCCACATGACTGCATGTATATCAGTGTATATCAAACGTATACGTAATTACGTACCGGACCAAACAAAAATACAGAGAATTGTTTTTTTATTCAGTTTTTGAAAAAGATAAAAATTCTTATGTAAATGATTCTAAAATAAATTACATAAACCATATATACTTTAAAATAAATTACCGTCGCACTCGAATTTAGACTTGACATAATATATGTTGTTGAAATGCTCAATAAGATCGTTTGATCGAAAGCTAAGTAACAGTTCTACCAATATGTTTTTGAAAAATCAAAATGCTAACACTTTTTGCTTTCTTGAGAGCAAATATTACAAAAATCTAAACCAACTTATTGATTTTCCCAAGTAAATTATCAAAAGTAATATCAAAAGCATCTCGAAACTTTTCGAACTTCGCATTAGAGTCTCCATAGACCAAACCAGGCAAAAGCTGATGAATAATGTAACTTCTCATACTCTCTCTTTCCTTTAGAGTCTTCGCCATCAATTTCTCAACCACGTTTACTCTCTTTACCTTCACATCTTCTTGGTCTATATACACAGAGTATCTCTTATGATCCTCCGGGAGATGCCAAGCGTACTGATAATATGCAGTGTACGGATTAAAGATCACCGGAATGCAACCGGAGATTAGCGAATCGAAAACCGATTTTCTCGTTGGACTATCTCCTGACGGCTGCAGACAGAACTCAGAGTCTTGAAAAAGCTTTATGACGTTTTCAGGCTTGTCACAACTTCCATTAGAACAGTTTAAGAACCGGCATTGGTCGGAAAAAGATTTGCATTGTTCGATAAGCGCTGACCTGATGCTATACGGGTTGCCGGGTCTTGCACCTCCGGCGAAGCTAATTAGATTCCGCCGAGGTTTGCTCGTCATTTTGATCTGCCAGCTGGTGATATCGTCGTCCGTTTTAGGGTGGAAGTAAGTCGGATGCGGGATTGCGACGTCGTTGACTTCCCATGGATGTCTCTCGATGAGAAGTTTTGTAGGGCTTTGCATTTCTTGTAACTCAAGGAACCTTGAGCCCCAAGGAAGCTTATTTCTTCTAAAATCCCAAGAAATCTTGCCGAGGACGAAGACTGTAGAGAAACCAGCACCGATAGTGCTTAGCACTAGCCCAAGACCGTAATACCCGAGAAACCCGAAAGAAACAATAAACCCTCTAAGTATGAAGAGAAATATGGAAGAACACAAGAGAATACTTGAAAGACTTTTAAGAAGAACAAGAGAGAACTTAGCTTTAGAACACTCTTTATTAACTTGTTCAATTTCTTGTGCATTTACAAATGAGGGGGTGAGGAGGTATTTATAGCCTCCCAAATCTACTTACAAAGTTTCTACACTCTTCTATAACCTCCTTAGGTCCTAGATATTTCTTCTTCTTCTTCTACAACTTTCTACAAATTATCTTACAAGTTTATCCTAATCTCTAGAACTCTCTAACATAATATCTAGATTTCTTGTCTTACAAGAACTAGAAAGTTCTACATAAATATCTAGAGAGTTATCTAGTAGAATTCTCTAGAAAATTTGAGGAAGTGATGACCTCTTATGATGTTTCTAGAGAGTTCTAGAACTTGGGCCTAATTTTGGGTTTAATAATAATTTGTTTATGGACCCAAAATTAAACCTTGATCAAAATCAAGTTTAATTTCAATACTCCCCCTTAAACTTGATTTTATCAACCATCCCGAGTTTCGAGCGAAGTAACTCGAACTGACCTTTTGGTAGTGACTTGGTGAAGATATCTGCAACATTATCCTCACTTCGAACCTCCAAAGCTTCAATTGTTCCATCAAGCACCTTCTCCCGTATGAAGTGATGTTCCAACTCAATATGCTTCGTCCTTGCATGGAACACCGGATTGTTAGCCAGCTTGATAGCACTTTGGTTATCTCCATATATGGCAACCGGCTTGTTGATTGGCTCAAACAAATCTTCAAGAAGCCTTCGAAGCCAAATACACTCTTGGGCTGCGAGCGTCGAAGCTTTATACTCCGCTTCAGTGGTAGACAGCGACACCGTTGCTTGTTTCTTGCTGCACCATGAAACGCTTGTGTCTCCACACAAGAACACAAAGCCCGAAGTTGATTTTCGACCATCTAGATCTCCACCAAAGTCAGCATCCGTGAAGCCATAGAGAGAGACCTTGGCATTGTACTTGTACATTAGACCCATGCCAAGAGTTGTCTTCACATACTTCAAGATCTTCTTTGCCGCTTCTAGATGTGGCTTCCTTGGTGACTGCATAAACCGACTTACAAGACCAACCGCGAAGGAAATGTCAGGTCTTGTAATGGTTAAGTATAGAAGACTTCCCACAAGAGAACGATAAGGCCGAGGATCGGGTAGCAAGGATCCTTCATCGCGCTTCAGCTTGATGTTCGCATCCATCGGAGTAGTACGTGTCTTTCCTTCGTGTACCCCGAACTTCTCTACAATCCTTCTTGCGTAGCTATGTTGGCCGATGAATATTCCATCCTTCATCCTTTCAACCTCCAAACCAAGAAAGTTGTTCAGCTCACCCAACATCTTCATCTCAAACCTTATCGACATATCCTCTTGCAGACGAGCAATTTCCGCTTCATCATTCCCGGTAATTATCAAGTCATCCACATAAAGAAGGACTACCACGTGGACTCCTCCATTCTTCTTGAAGAACAGACTCGGATCAGAGTTCGACGGAGAGTAACCGCAAAACTGAAGAAACTGAGCAAGCTTTCCATACCAGGCCCTTGGAGCTTGTTTTAACCCATACAAAGCCTTCTTTAGCTTGCAAACATAATCGGGATGCTCTTGTGATATGTAACCAAGTGGTTGCTCCATATAGATTTCTTTATCAAGTTCTCCGTATAGAAAAGCGTTCTTCACATCTAACTGCCATAACTTCCAGCCAAAGCTTGCAGCTAAAGATAAGAGTGTACGTACCGTAGTCATCTTCGCCACTGGACTGAAAGTCTCATCATAGTCTTCTCCATACTTCTGAGAAAATCCCCGAGCAACCAATCTTGCTTTGTGTCTATCAATGTTTCCATCCCTCTTACGCTTGATCCGGTACACCCATTTGCATGAGACGGGTTGGACATCCTTGGGTTTTGGAACCAAATCCCAAGTTTCATTTTTCTTTAGAGCATCCATCTCCTCCTTCATTGCGGTCTCCCACTCTTTAACTCCTTTTGCTTCATCATAAGATGATGGTTCTTCTTCATCAAAAGGAGATGCAAAGTAGCATGAGTAAGTAGTAACAAACCTTTCATCTCTGTACCGAGCAGGTTTAACGATGTCCCGTTTTGGTCGTTGATTAGCCAAGGAACCATGATCTTCCTCCTCCTCTTCCTCTTGGTTAGTGCTCCCCCTTTCACCTTGCATCTCTGGTTCAGAAATTCCACCATCACTTGGTATCTGAGCAGCTGGTTCATCGTCTTTAAGTGAGCCCGCACCATCTTGCTCAACCAAGACTTGAGGAGATCCGTAATATGAAGACACTTCATCAAAGACAACATCACGAGATACAGTGTATCTGTGTGTCTCTGGATCCATACACCTCCACCCCTTCCTTTGTTCATCATAGCCGACAAAGATGCACTTTTTCGCCTTTGCCTCCAGCTTGGTTCTTTGAGAGTCGAACACATGGACATAGCAGATAGATCCAAATATCCTGAGATGTTTCACTGTTGGCTTCTTCCCATGAACCATCTCATAAGGAGACTTCATATTATTTGGACTAAGCGGCATCCGATTGATGACATAGGCTGCACATCTCATCCCTTCTGCCCATAGAGCCTTAGGCAAATTCTTCGCATGTAGCCAGCTTCTACACGTCTCACTTAGATGCCTTATCTTCCTTTCTGCTACTCCATTTTGTTGAGGTGTGTATGGACATGAAAATTCTCTCTTGATACCATGCTTTCGGCAGAAAGAGAGAAACTCGTTTGACATAAACTCCCCTCCATTATCCGTCCTTAAGGTCTTGATTTTCCGACCCAACTCTCCTTCCACGGTAACCTTGAATTCTTGAAACTTGGAGAATACTTCTGACTTTTCCTTCACAAAGTATACCCAGGTGTACCGTGAGTAATCATCAACGAACAACAGCATGTAGCGGAACCCGGAATAGGAGGATGTTCTCGTCGGACCCATCAAATCACTATGGATCCTCTCCAACGGAGCATTGCATCGTGAAGTAGAATTGTCAAATGGAAGTCTATGTGATTTTCCATATTGACAACCTTCACAAAGCTTTCCTTCATCTTGAATCTTCAACTTTGGGAGCCCATTAACCAGATCTTTATTCACCATAGCCTTCAGCTTAGTCATATTTATATGGCCAAGCCTAGCATGCCAAATAAAAGCATTATCATTCGTACTCATCTTCTCAATGTACGAATTTGAGGCCGATAAGACATAAAGATCTTTAACCCGTGCTCCGGTGTGAACTACGTCCGCCTTTAACTCTTGAATATTCTTCAAGAATTTAACGTCTTTTGGTCCAAATAAAACGTAGTTACCTGAGTCCACCGCATTCACCACGGAAAGAAGATTCTTCTTAACTCCAGGGACATGGTATACGTTCTTGAGAGTGATTGGGCCTCCTTCTTCTCCTTCAATAACAATAGTCCCTTCCTTCTCAACCCGGTGGATTGAATTATCCGCAGTGATAATAGCTTCTTTCCCGTCATGACGTTGAAGACTAGAAAATAACTTCTCGTTTCCGGTAATATGATGGCTACAACCCGAATCCACAATCCAATCATTTCCAAGATTTTTAGTTGTGGATGTACCTGAAGATGCAGCCTCCACCGTGAAACATTTCCCCCAATCTTCGTCTTCAGTATGACTTTTTGATTCCGCCATATTGGTTTCCTTCAGCTTGACCCGACAGTCCTTTTTGAAATGCCCAAGCTTTCCACACCGGTAACACTTGAACTGCTTCTTGTCTCCCGTAGAAGATCTTTCCCGTCCATCATTATTCTTTACACCATCATTCTTGGTTTTTCCTTTGTAGCTCTGTTGCCTCCGAGCTACAAAAGCGCTCCCCGAGTCATCATGGATTTTGACTCCCGCCATTTGCGTGGCTAAGGATTCTTGCGAAGCTAGCAGATTTTCAAACTCCTCCAAGGAAGGTTGTGTAGCCCATCCTTGAACGGAAGTCACAAACGGTGTATATTCGGGTCGTAAACCACGAATAATAGACCGCTTTAACCGAGCTTCCGAAATAGACTCCTCCGGATTAAGAGTGTTAATCTCAGAGCAAAGGTTCTTTACCTTGATGAAGAACTCTGAGATTGAAGACTCCCCCTGCTTCGCATTCGCCAACTCGTTCTCTAACAGTTGTAGACGAGCCTCATTCTTCTTGTTGAACAGTTGGTCCAACGCTTGCCAAATGGAACTAGCGGATGTGCACCTTGAGACATGCTCAAATACTCCCGAGGATATTGACCTCTTCAATGCAAACTCCGCCTTGGCATTCTTCCGTGTCCATTCCTTTGTCGCTTCCGCTGTCGCAGCAGCTCCCATTGGTGGTGTGGTGCTACTGCCGCCGACGACATCCCATAAGTCCTCACTCACCAAGTATGACTCCATACATGACTTCCATAACCGGTAGTTAGATTGGTTTAAGATCTCCATTCCCAATCCAACAACACGACCCATTGATTCCATACTTAGAGTAAACCCGAGTTCTCCTAAGTCCCGATCTTGATGAGCACAAGATTAGAATGGCTCTGATACCATGTAGAGAAACCAGCACCGATAGTGCTTAGCACTAGCCCAAGACCGTAATACCCGAGAAACCCGAAAGAAACAATAAACCCTCTAAGTATGAAGAGAAATATGGAAGAACACAAGAGAATACTTGAAAGACTTTTAAGAAGAACAAGAGAGAACTTAGCTTTAGAACACTCTTTATTAACTTGTTCAATTTCTTGTGCATTTACAAATGAGGGGGTGAGGAGGTATTTATAGCCTCCCAAATCTACTTACAAAGTTTCTACACTCTTCTATAACCTCCTTAGGTCCTAGATATTTCTTCTTCTTCTTCTACAACTTTCTACAAATTATCTTACAAGTTTATCCTAATCTCTAGAACTCTCTAACATAATATCTAGATTTTTGTCTTACAAGAACTAGAAAGTTCTACATAAATATCTAGAGAGTTATCTAGTAGAATTCTCTAGAAAATTTGAGGAAGTGATGACCTCTTATGATGTTTCTAGAGAGTTCTAGAACTTGGGCCTAATTTTGGGTTTAATAATAATTTGTTTATGGACCCAAAATTAAACCTTGATCAAAATCAAGTTTAATTTCAATACTCCCCCTTAAACTTGATTTTATCAACCATCCCGAGTTTCGAGCGAAGTAACTCGAACTGACCTTTTGGTAGTGACTTGGTGAAGATATCTGCAACATTATCCTCACTTCGAACCTCCAAAGCTTCAATTGTTCCATCAAGCACCTTCTCCCGTATGAAGTGATGTTCCAACTCAATATGCTTCGTCCTTGCATGGAACACCGGATTGTTAGCCAGCTTGATAGCACTTTGGTTATCTCCATATATGGCAACCGGCTTGTTGATTGGCTCAAACAAATCTTCAAGAAGCCTTCGAAGCCAAATACACTCTTGGGCTGCGAGCGTCGAAGCTTTATACTCCGCTTCAGTGGTAGACAGCGACACCGTTGCTTGTTTCTTGCTGCACCATGAAACGCTTGTGTCTCCACACAAGAACACAAAGCCCGAAGTTGATTTTCGACCATCTAGATCTCCACCAAAGTCAGCATCCGTGAAGCCATAGAGAGAGACCTTGGCATTGTACTTGTACATTAGACCCATGCCAAGAGTTGTCTTCACATACTTCAAGATCTTCTTTGCCGCTTCTAGATGTGGCTTCCTTGGTGACTGCATAAACCGACTTACAAGACCAACCGCGAAGGAAATGTCAGGTCTTGTAATGGTTAAGTATAGAAGACTTCCCACAAGAGAACGATAAGGCCGAGGATCGGGTAGCAAGGATCCTTCATCGCGCTTCAGCTTGATGTTCGCATCCATCGGAGTAGTACGTGTCTTTCCTTCGTGTACCCCGAACTTCTCTACAATCCTTCTTGCGTAGCTATGTTGGCCGATGAATATTCCATCCTTCATCCTTTCAACCTCCAAACCAAGAAAGTTGTTCAGCTCACCCAACATCTTCATCTCAAACCTTATCGACATATCCTCTTGCAGACGAGCAATTTCCGCTTCATCATTCCCGGTAATTATCAAGTCATCCACATAAAGAAGGACTACCACGTGGACTCCTCCATTCTTCTTGAAGAACAGACTCGGATCAGAGTTCGACGGAGAGTAACCGCAAAACTGAAGAAACTGAGCAAGCTTTCCATACCAGGCCCTTGGAGCTTGTTTTAACCCATACAAAGCCTTCTTTAGCTTGCAAACATAATCGGGATGCTCTTGTGATATGTAACCAAGTGGTTGCTCCATATAGATTTCTTTATCAAGTTCTCCGTATAGAAAAGCGTTCTTCACATCTAACTGCCATAACTTCCAGCCAAAGCTTGCAGCTAAAGATAAGAGTGTACGTACCGTAGTCATCTTCGCCACTGGACTGAAAGTCTCATCATAGTCTTCTCCATACTTCTGAGAAAATCCCCGAGCAACCAATCTTGCTTTGTGTCTATCAATGTTTCCATCCCTCTTACGCTTGATCCGGTACACCCATTTGCATGAGACGGGTTGGACATCCTTGGGTTTTGGAACCAAATCCCAAGTTTCATTTTTCTTTAGAGCATCCATCTCCTCCTTCATTGCGGTCTCCCACTCTTTAACTCCTTTTGCTTCATCATAAGATGATGGTTCTTCTTCATCAAAAGGAGATGCAAAGTAGCATGAGTAAGTAGTAACAAACCTTTCATCTCTGTACCGAGCAGGTTTAACGATGTCCCGTTTTGGTCGTTGATTAGCCAAGGAACCATGATCTTCCTCCTCCTCTTCCTCTTGGTTAGTGCTCCCCCTTTCACCTTGCATCTCTGGTTCAGAAATTCCACCATCACTTGGTATCTGAGCAGCTGGTTCATCGTCTTTAAGTGAGCCCGCACCATCTTGCTCAACCAAGACTTGAGGAGATCCGTAATATGAAGACACTTCATCAAAGACAACATCACGAGATACAGTGTATCTGTGTGTCTCTGGATCCATACACCTCCACCCCTTCCTTTGTTCATCATAGCCGACAAAGATGCACTTTTTCGCCTTTGCCTCCAGCTTGGTTCTTTGAGAGTCGAACACATGGACATAGCAGATAGATCCAAATATCCTGAGATGTTTCACTGTTGGCTTCTTCCCATGAACCATCTCATAAGGAGACTTCATATTATTTGGACTAAGCGGCATCCGATTGATGACATAGGCTGCACATCTCATCCCTTCTGCCCATAGAGCCTTAGGCAAATTCTTCGCATGTAGCCAGCTTCTACACGTCTCACTTAGATGCCTTATCTTCCTTTCTGCTACTCCATTTTGTTGAGGTGTGTATGGACATGAAAATTCTCTCTTGATACCATGCTTTCGGCAGAAAGAGAGAAACTCGTTTGACATAAACTCCCCTCCATTATCCGTCCTTAAGGTCTTGATTTTCCGACCCAACTCTCCTTCCACGGTAACCTTGAATTCTTGAAACTTGGAGAATACTTCTGACTTTTCCTTCACAAAGTATACCCAGGTGTACCGTGAGTAATCATCAACGAACAACAGCATGTAGCGGAACCCGGAATAGGAGGATGTTCTCGTCGGACCCATCAAATCACTATGGATCCTCTCCAACGGAGCATTGCATCGTGAAGTAGAATTGTCAAATGGAAGTCTATGTGATTTTCCATATTGACAACCTTCACAAAGCTTTCCTTCATCTTGAATCTTCAACTTTGGGAGCCCATTAACCAGATCTTTATTCACCATAGCCTTCAGCTTAGTCATATTTATATGGCCAAGCCTAGCATGCCAAATAAAAGCATTATCATTCGTACTCATCTTCTCAATGTACGAATTTGAGGCCGATAAGACATAAAGATCTTTAACCCGTGCTCCGGTGTGAACTACGTCCGCCTTTAACTCTTGAATATTCTTCAAGAATTTAACGTCTTTTGGTCCAAATAAAACGTAGTTACCTGAGTCCACCGCATTCACCACGGAAAGAAGATTCTTCTTAACTCCAGGGACATGGTATACGTTCTTGAGAGTGATTGGGCCTCCTTCTTCTCCTTCAATAACAATAGTCCCTTCCTTCTCAACCCGGTGGATTGAATTATCCGCAGTGATAATAGCTTCTTTCCCGTCATGACGTTGAAGACTAGAAAATAACTTCTCGTTTCCGGTAATATGATGGCTACAACCCGAATCCACAATCCAATCATTTCCAAGATTTTTAGTTGTGGATGTACCTGAAGATGCAGCCTCCACCGTGAAACATTTCCCCCAATCTTCGTCTTCAGTATGACTTTTTGATTCCGCCATATTGGTTTCCTTCAGCTTGACCCGACAGTCCTTTTTGAAATGCCCAAGCTTTCCACACCGGTAACACTTGAACTGCTTCTTGTCTCCCGTAGAAGATCTTTCCCGTCCATCATTATTCTTTACACCATCATTCTTGGTTTTTCCTTTGTAGCTCTGTTGCCTCCGAGCTACAAAAGCGCTCCCCGAGTCATCATGGATTTTGACTCCCGCCATTTGCGTGGCTAAGGATTCTTGCGAAGCTAGCAGATTTTCAAACTCCTCCAAGGAAGGTTGTGTAGCCCATCCTTGAACGGAAGTCACAAACGGTGTATATTCGGGTCGTAAACCACGAATAATAGACCGCTTTAACCGAGCTTCCGAAATAGACTCCTCCGGATTAAGAGTGTTAATCTCAGAGCAAAGGTTCTTTACCTTGATGAAGAACTCTGAGATTGAAGACTCCCCCTGCTTCGCATTCGCCAACTCGTTCTCTAACAGTTGTAGACGAGCCTCATTCTTCTTGTTGAACAGTTGGTCCAACGCTTGCCAAATGGAACTAGCGGATGTGCACCTTGAGACATGCTCAAATACTCCCGAGGATATTGACCTCTTCAATGCAAACTCCGCCTTGGCATTCTTCCGTGTCCATTCCTTTGTCGCTTCCGCTGTCGCAGCAGCTCCCATTGGTGGTGTGGTGCTACTGCCGCCGACGACATCCCATAAGTCCTCACTCACCAAGTATGACTCCATACATGACTTCCATAACCGGTAGTTAGATTGGTTTAAGATCTCCATTCCCAATCCAACAACACGACCCATTGATTCCATACTTAGAGTAAACCCGAGTTCTCCTAAATCCCGATCTTGATGAGCACAAGATTAGAATGGCTCTGATACCATGTAGAGAAACCAGCACCGATAGTGCTTAGCACTAGCCCAAGACCGTAATACCCGAGAAACCCGAAAGAAACAATAAACCCTCTAAGTATGAAGAGAAATATGGAAGAACACAAGAGAATACTTGAAAGACTTTTAAGAAGAACAAGAGAGAACTTAGCTTTAGAACACTCTTTATTAACTTGTTCAATTTCTTGTGCATTTACAAATGAGGGGGTGAGGAGGTATTTATAGCCTCCCAAATCTACTTACAAAGTTTCTACACTCTTCTATAACCTCCTTAGGTCCTAGATATTTCTTCTTCTTCTTCTACAACTTTCTACAAATTATCTTACAAGTTTATCCTAATCTCTAGAACTCTCTAACATAATATCTAGATTTTTGTCTTACAAGAACTAGAAAGTTCTACATAAATATCTAGAGAGTTATCTAGTAGAATTCTCTAGAAAATTTGAGGAAGTGATGACCTCTTATGATGTTTCTAGAGAGTTCTAGAACTTGGGCCTAATTTTGGGTTTAATAATAATTTGTTTATGGACCCAAAATTAAACCTTGATCAAAATCAAGTTTAATTTCAAAAAAGACGTGATCTTTCCCGGCATTTCTCCTCCAAGATTTCTTTGATCCAAGCCATTTCAAAACCTCGATTCCTAACTGATCCTTCACTTCCCCTGAAACATTCTTAAAATGCCATCTCAAAACATCAAAACCGCCAGGGACATAAAAGATCTTAGCTTGGCTCTCGTTGTAAACCCTACAAGGATGCTTTGAAACCCTAGAGTGAAAGATCGGTTCAAGAGCATACTGATGTGTCCTAAACCAACCTTGACCAAGGTTCTCTATTGCTTCTCCAAAACCATCATTCTTGAAATACTTACACATGTTAGTCCAAGGGACCATATCAACGCATTCCACCAATAAATCTTTGTTGAATTTAGATGGTAAATCATAAACATAAACTCCTTTTCCTTCACAAGATCTTACATTTTCATCTTTTCCCCTGGTGGATAGCCAAGATCTTTGTACTTGGAGATACTTAACCACTGCCCTTAACGCATATCCTTCTCCTTCACTCTTAGGTTTGATGTATTTGTATTGTTCTTCCTCGATTTTTTTCGTAAGCTTATGACCATACCGGTTTTTATCTTCACTGGAAACTTTATCTCCGGCAACCTCTTCGGCGAATGTATCATTACTTTGGGACCCCATTTCTCCATCTTTATTAAGAACAACTCTCGGGTGGTTGAGTTTCCTTGAAGAGATGATGATGGTTGAAGAAAGCCAAAGATAAAGAACAAAGAACAGAGGAATGGTGAGAGGAATTCGATAGAGGATAGATTTGTTGAAGTTAGAACAAAGATTGTTACAGAAGAAGATACGAGGATCTTTTGTCTTCTTGGCCATTGCTGGCTTTTTCTTTGAGACTAAGATAGCCATTTCCACTCGCTTTTTTACTTTTCATCATTTACGATTTAATAGATTTCCTGGTTTTGGAATTTTCTTTCAGAAAAGTATGATATTTTTCCTGGATATCTACCTAACTACTAGTATTTATTTACTTTACTATTAAAAAAGTAGATATCTCTTTCTTAATATAAAGGCAAAAAAATATATGAGTAGATAGCTAAAATATATATTTGTTTCCAATGGTGTCGAGACAAAAAAAAAAAAATTTGTAAGTTTTGATTATCAATAGAATTTATTTTATTATTGGAAAGAAAAAACTTTAGAAACTCAAAGTAAGTAAGAGATCAAAATCAGAATAAGTAGGTGAAATAATATAAGTTACCGTTTGAAAACGTTCAATAATTATTTTGTCCAAATAGACATGTGGAATATAATATACTTAGATTATCGATTGACAACATATGGAAATGAGAAAGATCCTTTAACAAAAAAAACATATGGAAATGAGAATGTATATATTCTAATAATAATTTTATCCCATATAGGCATATGTATATTACATACGATATCAATGGGTTATTTGTTCCTAGATTACTATTGCTACAATCAAGTTTAAGAACAAGAAAATGGATAAAAACGATGATCAACATTCAAATTCAATATCACTTATTCAACTAAGACAATATATAGGGAATATATATCATACACAACAAATATTTATTCTGATTTGTTGATTTTCTCAAGTAAACTATCAAACGTAATATCAAAAGCATCTCGAAACTTCTCAAACTTGGCATTAGAGTCTCCATAGATCAAACCAGGCAAAAGCTGATGAATAATGTAACTTCTCATATCCTCTTTCTCCTTTAGAGTCGTTGTCTTCAAAATCTCCATCACATTCACTCCTTTTTCCTTCACATCTTCTTCACTTACAAACACTGAGTATCTCCGATGATCCTCCGGCAAGTGCCATGCGTATTGATAGTACGCCGTGTACGGATTAAAGACCACCGGGATGCAACCGGTGATTAAAGAATCGAAGACCGATCTCCTTGTTGCGCTATCTCCCGGTGGTTGTAGACAAAACTCTGAGTCTTGGAACAAATCAATGACATTCTTTGGATTCTTGCAGCTTCCGTTTGTACAATCCAAGAACCGGCATTGGTCATCGGAAGATAAAGATATGCATTGCTCGATTAACGTTGACCGGATGCTATTAGGGTCATCCGGTCTTGCACCTCCGGCGAAGCTTACTAGACTCCGGCGAGATTTGTTCATGATCTTGATCTGCCAACTGGAGATGTCTTCATCTGTTTGGGGATGAAAATAGGTGGGGTGAGGAATGGCGATGTCGTTGACCTGCCATGGTTGTCTTTCGACGAGAAGTTTGGTAGGGTTTTGCAGTTCTTGTAGCTCAAGGAACCTTGAGCCCCAAGGGACCTTATCTCTCCTGAAATCCCAAGTAATCTTTCCTAGGACGAACACATGATCTTTTCCGGCGTTTCTCCTCCAAGATTCCTTTGACTCAAGCCATTTTAAAACCTCGATCCCCAACTGGTCCTTTACATCATCAGAAACATTCCTAAAATGCCATCTCAAAACATCAAAACCGCCATAGTAAGGGACATAAAAGAGCTTAGCTTGGGTCTCGTTGTAAACCCTACAAGGGTGCTTCAAAAATCTAGAATGTAATATCGGTTCAAGAGAATACATGTGCGTTCCAAACCAACCTTGACCAAGATTCTCAATAACTTCTCCAAAGCCATCATTCTTGAAGTAGCTACACAAGTTAACCCCTGGAAGTATATCGTTGCATTCTACCAGCAAATCTTTGTTGAATTTCGTTGGTAAATCATAAACATAAACACCTTTACCTTCACAAGATCCCGGCTTATTTACGCTGCTGTTTCCCGGAGATACCCATGATCTTTGTTGGTAAAGATACTTGATCACTGCCCTTAACGCATTTTCTTCTCCTTCACTCTTAGGTTTGATGTATTTGCTGTATTCTTCCTCGGCTTTTAGGTCAATGAGTGAACTGAGATCGACCTTGTTTTCCGGTTCGGGTTCTTGATCAAGAACTGAATCAAGATTCTTGGGTTTGTCTTCTTGTTCAAGAACACCATAATCTTTTTTATCTTCACTTCGAAGAATCTTGGTGGGATCATCGGAAACTCTATCTCCGGCGGTCACTCCGGCCGAAATCTCATCATAGTTTTGCGAACCCAATTCTCCATCTTTATTACCAGACACAGGATCAAGATTCTTGGATTTATGTTCTTGGTCAAGAACTGAATCAAGATTCTTAGGTTTGTCTACATGTTCAAGAACATCATACTCCTTTTTATCTTCATTTTGAAGAATCTTTGTGGGATCGTCAGAAAATCTATCTTCTGCTGTCTCTCCGGCGAAGGTAACATTATTTGAAATGCCCATGTCTCCATTTTTACCACCAAAACCTGAATCTAGATTATTGGGTTTGACTTCTTGCTCAAGAACATCATACTCTTTTTTATCTTCACCGTGAGGATTTTTTGTGGGATCATCGGAAACTCTAGCTTCAACGGTATCTCCGGCGGAAGAGTCATTCTTTGGAGAATCCATTTCTTCATCTTGATTGCCAAGAACGGAATCAGAATTCTTGGGTTTGGTTTCTTGATCAAGAACATCATACTCTTTTTGATCGGAAACTATATCTCCGACCGTCTCTCCGGCGAAAGTAGAATTTGTTTGAGAACCCAATTCTCCAACTTTATCATCATCATTAAAGTATTCATCTTGACTGCGAAGAACATTGTTCGGATCACCGGAATCTCTATCTCCGGCGATCACTCCGGCGGAAGGTTCACTCTTTTTCGAACCAATTTCTTTATTTTTATCAAGAAGAACACTTTTAGTAGTAAGGTTGGTCTGAATTTGAGAACCGGGTTTAGAACCAGCCGTGAGACAATAAGGATCGTTGAGCTTCCGAGAGAAAACACAGATGTGGAAGACCTTGTCGGAGATCAAAGTGGTGAAAGATGACCAGAGGTAAATAAGGAAGAAGAAGAGTACTGAGAGAAGAGTTACATAGAGAATGGCTCTGAAGAAGAGAGAACAAAGATTGTTACAGAAGAAGAAGATACGAGGACCTTCTGTCTTCTTTGAAGATCTTGACTTTCTCTTTGAGACCGATACTACCATTTTTTTCTACTTGGTCTTAATTTCTTTTGTTTGAATTTGTTATCAGTTTCTTTGTTTTCCTTATCGGATTACGCACGGCGCACGCTATCTTTATATAATAAGTGAATAAATGTACACAACACACACACAAGGTGTATGATACTTAATTTTACATATTTCCTTTGAAAGTTGTTAACCGAATTGACAATGAAAAGAATAGACTTAAAACGGTATAAAAGCTATATTGTCTACATTATTCAAATATATGTTAATTTTAGTAATGTGAAAGTGTTTTTTTCTTGTAAGTTAAGAGGATTTTAATGAATACATTTATTTAAACGTACAACAACTACTTGAAAAGCTTTCACAAGTTTTTTTTAGTGAAGGTTTCATAAAACAGGTAAAAGAAGACATTCTAAAAAGACTTACTAAAATTTGTAAACAAATATAATTAGTTTATTGGGAATTAAATAAAATTACAAGATTGAGTAAGACCTTTTACAGAGGATATTATAGTAACTTAACATCTCTACTGAAAAACAAAACTATTTTAGAACATATAAATCTTATAACAACTTAGAGTTTATTTAAACGTTAGGCTTTTTTGGGGGGGTTAAAATTCAAACGTTAGGCTTGAGGTCATTTTCTGCAATTATCACTCCATTTCCATTATCCTATAAGAATTTAATTAGGAAAATTAATCGGAAAATGTATAAACAAACATCGTTTAATGTACTCGCTATCAAAATTTATTCAAATTCTGATTTGGTTTAAACTATTTTCTAAAATTGAATAATTTTTTTTTTCTAGCTTGTTAGAGTATGACAGGCGAAACTTGCTATGAAACTAAAAGATGGGTTAACTGATAGTCTTACTCAAATTAAAAGTTTAGTTAATCATAAAATTATTTAAGAGACTGTTGGATTCATATTGTTTATAGGAGAAACGTATTAGTTTACAACATTACTGTTACATATTGTTAGTCGATTGTTGAAACATCAAAATTAGGTGCTCTATATTGTAAGTCTGTAACATCAGAGACTTAAGTATAGGATACATCCAGATTCTGACCAACTTTACGTCTCACGACTTGAGATAACCAATCTGTTACGTTTTTTGTTTGTGATTGTAAAAAAACCATTATGCACCTAATTAGTTGTTTTCTCTTGATTTTGCTGTCAGAGTTTGTGACCAATCCATGTGACATTACTTTAGAATTTGTATTTAAACTGTTAGATTTTGTAATTTAACCAGTGTAATTATACCAAGTTGAGAAGCTTTATGTGATCAACAATTTATATAAATATTTTTTTAAAAGAAATGAAAACAAATGGGTTATGTTACAATACAACAGAGCAAATGTTGCGAAGTAAAAAAAAAGAAGAGAAATTAAAAAAAAAAAAAAACGAATCCTGAAATCTCTCTGTTAACATCTAAATCCCAAGAAAATCCAAAGTAAGAATAATTCTACAACAAACATGTTTATGTACAGCACCAACGATTTCTGTATGCTGCTGCAATGTTCTAAGTAATACAGTAAGAATAAGAAAGATTAAATCATCCACGAGTCAAGTCAATATCAGTGAGATGGTTGTCGTCTCTCGAGTCAATTGATCTCTTGCCACCACCAGATCCTGACCATCCCGGAGAAGAGAAGTCTTGCGGCGTCTGAACCGCTTCCGCTGCTGCCTCTGCTGCTGCTTCTGGTGGCAGCGATTCACTGTCCGGTGTCTCCACGTCGTCGTTTTTTTGGGTGTTGTTGTCTTCCTTTGAGCCGTTTTCTTGCTTCATTACTTTAGCCTTTGCACTTCCGTATACAAAACTACACGCCACAACCTACAAAACGCACCATGAAAGTTTCGGTTTTTAGTCAAAAAGCATTCAAAACTAGACTCAAAGCCAACACAGTTCTCTATCAGCAGTGACTCGGTTAATGCTAAAGATGAGAAATTTGAAACCTGAACGAGAGTGGCTGCAGTAAGAGTTCCAACACCGCCACCAATCACAAAACCATTGGAGCTGGAGAGAGAGACACTAATACCGCCTGTTCGGCTTTTAGGGCCGCCTTCTTCATTCACCAAGTAAGATCCTCCTAAGCTTAGCATCTCAAAAGGCCCCTACACAGCAACAACACCAACAAAATTGAATTAACCTTTGTTTTTGAGAGAAAGGAAGAGGAAAGTAAGTGGATTTGAGAAAAATATTAGACCTGAAGAAACCGAGTAGGCACTGAGGATCCGGATTCACATAGCGTCACTGAAGCAACTGTTCCTGTTCCTGACATTATACAAAGGGCTCTTGGCCTTTGCTGTGAAAACGCGAGGACTTTCCCAACAATGTCCTACAACGGCGCAAAAAAAGACTTCTTTAACTTAAAACTTATAATTTCTGTATAATCAGAAGTAAAGAATCAACGGAGAGAGTTTAAAAGCACCTCTCCGGCTTCAACACTGATCACATGTGGTGCAAAGGCAAGTCCAGCTGAAGAATTCATCCACTCACCTACAACAGCAATGAATACAGCTAAGTTAAAAGCTGTCTGTAGAAGCTCAACATCAAGCTCATGGTTTAACTACTTCTATAGTCAAGAACATTTCAAGGTATCACAAGCAAACAAGAACAGGACATTCACATTCACATCATACGAACAGTCTACTAATTCCTAATACCAAGTTCACAAACCATATTCTGGATCCTAGTTACTTCTTATTCACATATTGAAAGCTTCACTCAAATATAGGATCCTAGCTAGGTTCACAAGCCATCGAGTCAATAGCAACATGTCAACATGAAATCAGTCGGTTTGCTTTAACCAAAGAAGAGTTTCTTAATAACAGAGCTAAAACCAACTTCGTAACTCAAACATAGAATCATATCTACGCTCACAAGTGTCTTAATTTCAGCTAATCAAAGGTTAAAAGCCAACAGAAACCCCAGATTCAAATCACACCATCAAGCTTATAACTCCTACTACTAAAGCTAGTTAACTACATTCTGAATCCCAACTCCCAGAAGTCGAGTCCCTTAACAACAGAGCTAAAAGCAACTTCTTTAAGCTCCAGTGTCTTAAAATTCAGCTAATCACAGGTCAAACGCAACAAAAGCCACCATCAAATCTTATTAACTCCTAATACTAAACCTAAACTAAGCAGATTCTGAGTCCCAATTATCCAATCTCAGTTCACATCGTAGTAACACACATGAATCACTTGGTTAACTCTCTTCCAAATTGAAAAACTCACTGAGATTAGCGAGGCGCTGCTTTCTCCCGGTTCCTGGTGGTCGACCTCTAGCTCGTTTAGGTGCATTAGGATCAGACATTGAACAAGAGTCCTTAGACTTGTCAGAAGAAGGCATCGGAGAGAGCCCAAGATCAGTCTTATGATCAGGCACATCCTTCCTCGGCCGTCCACGCTTCTTCTTCACCACCGGCTCCGTCGCAGGAGGAATCTGCGGCTGTTGCATAGTCGGCGGAGAAGAAGCCGCCATGCCCATGTGGCTGAAATCCTCTTGATGCCTCTGCTCGCCGAAAGGGAACTGATGACCGGAGCTAGAGAGAGGGTGCTGCGGCTGCAAATTAGGGTTCGCCATTGGGCTGAAACCTGGCGGCGCGTGGAGGGCACTCGCGGATTGAGAAGCGGGGACTGAAGTGAAAGCTCCTCTGGGGAAATAGAAAGGAGGGAACGACATTGCCTCTCGACCTTCCATGCATTTAAAACCCTAATTTTTACAAATCCTATCGAGGATAGAATTAGGATACACAATGTGAGGATGAGATTCCTAATCAAAGTAGGAAACTTTAATTATAAAATTTGGGGGTTTTACATAGGAAATGAAGAAAACCCCAAGAATCAAATTGGGGTTTTTGTTCTTTCTAATTGAAAGCCCATCAATTGGCAGCCCTAAGACTAATCACAAGATCCAATTTGAATTTCAGAAACGTCGAAAGGGAGAAGAAGAAAGAGAGCAAAAATCTTGAGCTGAAGATAAATGCAGTTTTGAAACTGCGAAATGAAATGACTAGTGAAAACAAGAACAGAGCTAAGTGACGAGGCAATATGATGCACACTTCCTACGACTACAGTCTACTTGGAAGAAAATTAGTAAACAAGAACAAAACATTCGAAATCTAGGGTTTTTGAGATGTAAAACGTAATGTCCATCACAGAGGAGGAAAAGGGGGAAGATGACAGAATAGACAAAAGAGGAGAGAGATGAAATATTAAAAATTAATTTTGAATATTGAAGTGAGCATTTGAATTAAAGGTTCTATGAGGACTCAAAGAGACAAAGACTTTGTCTTCTCTGTTTTTTTTTTTTTTTAATATTAGTTTCTCTTAATTATTTTAGCTGTCTGAGTCTAAGATATTCTTTTTGACAAATTTGAGACAAAAGCCAATTTAGTAGAGATAAGTAAATAACTTGGTTGACATAAAAATATATTATCTTTTTTTTGCTTGGTATTTTTATTTAAAAAAAAATTATAACCAAATATATAGGTATGATACAATGATTAAAAAATCACCATCATCTCAGTTAATTCTTAATTCATTTAGGTTTTGATTGTTTGCAAGATAGATTTTTGTTTTTGTTTTTCAAAAAATAAAAGGGTGAGTTGGTTTAATATTACTAAAAAATTTCATAATTTGAAAACTAATCCTTGTTTTAAATTTTTTGAAAACTAACTTTTTTAATAAGTAAAAAGACAATAAAACCATATCATTTTTCTATTAATAATGAGAAAAAAAAATTTATTTAATTTAGATATATATGAATTTAGATATTTATATATATATATAAAATATTTTCGAAAATTTCCTTTATATATTTTTTAATAAATATTAAAAATACACATGTTATTTTGAAAATATATTCATATTTATCAAAAAATGAATCAAACTCCATAAATATCATTTTAGAACAAAGAAAAACTCACATTTCATTTTATATTTGATGAATGTGTTAAAGTTAACTCATGTTCTATATTTATGACATGTTAAATTTCAAATAAGATCTTCTAAATATCTTTTTGTTTTCTTGTTGTAAATTTTATTCAGATTTTATGAGAATATCCCACACTGAAGTTTTTTTTTGTTATATAAAATAAAAATAATTGTTTATAATTATCTTTAGAATAACAGAATTTTTTTTTACAATTTAAATAATTTTTAAATAAGATAAACGAAATTTTAAAACAATTTTAATATCTAAAAAAATTATGATATTTTAGTAATTTTAAATATTAGAAAGATTAGTTTACCAACACTTTAAAAAATGGGTTAGTTTTCAAAATATGATTAATTTATTTAAAGAAATAGATTCCTATTTTCTAGGGAAACTAGTTTTTTTCAAAATTTTCTCATTTTCTACATAGAAACCCAAAATCCTAATATTTTAGGTTTTTCACGAATGCTAGCATTCATAGATTTTTTTCACCCATTTTTTATTTATTTTGTTGCAAAAAGATTGCTAGAAAAATCTCACATCAAGCTATGAAGCTATTGGAGATTTCAGGGTAATTAGTTAATTAATTCTATATTGCTTTAGTCAATTCTTTTACCGTAGTTATTATAGTAGAGTTAGTTGAATTTGTTAATTATATATGGTACACTATAATTTAGTTTTTTTTTCAAACATACTGTAGCTATTAGTTATTAGTTTCTGATAGTTTTAATACATATTTTTCAATATTTTTACCATAGGTTTTAAAATAAAATTAGTTGAATCTAGTTTATGTTTGTTGTTTTTCTTTTGAAATAATTAATGAAATAAATGTGTAATTTTTTATAAATAGAATTCTGGTATTAATGTATTATTTAATATTTTGTAATGAATTAATTCTTATTAATAAATTCATAGTTTAATTTTATCAACAAAAATCATAGTTTTATTTTTTATGAATACAAAATGTAGACAAAAACCAGAAACTAAACAAGTCACCCACCCATTCAAGTTTCTAAGAAACTAAATCTATAGCAAAATCAAAATCAAAAACCAAAATCTATAATCAAAACTAAAATCCAAAAATCAAAATCTAAAAATCAGCCAAACATTCATGGCCTTATTCACATATAGAAAGCTTATAGTATGATGCTTCTATAGTGGAAACCATCTCCTCTAGAAGACAACTATCTCTCCCGGCCAGATACTCAGAAGAGGATGGTAAATGCTGTTGGTCTCTAATGACCAACTGTTGCATAAGCTTTGTTGGGCCTACACCCTCTCCGACCTCATAAGTGCAACCTTATATGTAGTTCTATATGGTTGGGATGAGGAGTACACGGCATTGTGTCCTTGGTATTTGTGCACAAACTTGTCCAAATTAATTTGAAAGGAATTTCAACAAACTTTCCGCCAAACCTCATTTCCCAGATTTAGAGAGTGAAAAGAGGATTGTACTTTGTGTAGAAAGAAGAGATACGGAAGAGAAGTATTCGAAATTCAACTGCAACCTTAAAAGACCACAAAATTCTGAGGAAAAGATGCATCATATAAGGATGTGTTTCAGTACCCTACTTTCCGTTTTTGAGACGTCTGAAGACTCATGATGTTAGTGCATCGTTGATGTTATTGGAAGGATGGAACAAAAGAGAAATATATCATGGGCCTAAAAACGGAGGTGCTAATGTTGTGCAGTGGCTAAAGTAAGATTTTTTTTTACGAGGGTCATGATAGAACTGCTTTAAGCCAAGGAACCATATATAAAGTGAGAGTTTTTGAAGCGCCAGCAATCATAATCCTAGTGACTGGAATTGGAAATGTTTAAATTTTTTCAGTTTCTCTACTTAAATATTGACACTTGAACGATGTTTATTTTGAAAGGGCACAAAATTTCAAGATCTAAGATCTGTAGATAATGAAGAGTAGTATCTAAATCAAAATAGTCTACAACAATTTGTTGTTGTTAGGAAGTGAATCAGAACAAGATAAACCATTTATTGTTCTTTTTTTCTGAAGAAAGTCTCAACCTTTTTGTTTTGTGCGAGATTGAAGAATGTGAGGGAACATCTAAATGGTTGTTCTGGCTTTCCCCGCCTATCAATCGGTTTGTTTTAAACAAGAGTATATAAGAAGTTAACTAGAAGTGGGGCCATTAAAAGGGGTTAGTTTGTTGATGTGTACACTCTAAAAGGCGAGAAAACTCTCTAATTATATATAAGATGATTAGATCTAACCGAGAGAAGCTACCTCGGAGGTGAGACCAAGATAAACTGTTCTGATCTATGTTTCCAAATGCATTTTACGCGCCCTGTACGTGTATTTAGAATTAGAGGTAACTTAATTACGATGCATTCATTGTATATTATACAACAAGCCATGATCACTTGCTAGCTATACCATCATCGTCTCTCAATTATAACTAATTGTTGATTATAATCAGATCTAACCAAGAAAAGCGACGTTGTCGTCGGAGGTGAGACCAACATAACTACATAAGCAATGTCGTCGGAGGAGGTGGGACCAAGATAAGCGGCGTCGTCGGAGGAGGTGGGACCAAGATAAGCGATGTCGTCGGAGGAGGTGAGACCAAGATAAGCGACCAAGTGGCTTTAACGCGCTGTATTCCTAGGCGTAGACTTGGTAATTTACGTGACTTTGTGGTGCATATGCATTATAATTTATGCAACAAGCCATGATCACTTGCTAAGCTAAATCATCATCGTGTCATTATAACTAGTTGTTGATAATATACAGGGGAAGCCAAGAGAAAATACCATGTCAAAGTGGATCCGAAGCACCGTAAATGTAACTTAATTACGATGCACTCATTGTATATTTGTATATTATAGTATACAACAAGCCATGATCACTTGCTAAGCTAAATCAAATCAATTGCTGATTTGACCAGATGAAATCATGCCTGAGTGGCCCCCGGAGAATCCTTTTGAAAAATCTAAGCGATTTTACGTGGTAAGTTTAAGACATCGCATGACTTTGCATTTAACTTTTGTTTTTTGCTCATGTTGAGTAGTGATATATGGATATGTTTTTGCTTCAGGTGAAATAATCAGAGCTGCAAGACAATGACTGGATTTGTCTCTACTCGGAACTTGCAGTTGCCACGACTAATAGGACGAGCGAAAAGAATCATGATCTCTCCAGTTTGAAGATTGTCCAAGTGGCTATCGATACTAGTACTAGTACCACCAAAGATGTACGCAAGGCCAAAAATGCAATCGTCTACATAAGGTACACGGACTCGTGCGAGGCTCGAGTTGGTATGGATGTTGATCGGGTAGCTATAGTCAGAAGAGCCTTCAACAGGATATGAATATATGATACTAGCTGAATTTTCACAGCTGAATATGATTTCTAAACAGTCATGTTCTCTAGCTATTCCATTCGAACATGAACAACTACTTAAGATTGAGCCATTCTGTGAAGGTGGGAGTGACAATACAAACTATGAATCCGCACTCAAGGGTGTTAATGGCTTGCGGATCAATAACAGTGGAGGCGATGAGACTGCACCACCGCCACAATCAAATGGAGACGATGTTATAATTACTACTACTCGTGTAGATTCCAAAACAAAGCTCTCAGACTGATTCATAGATGAAGCTTTAAGACAACACCGGTAATCACTTTGTTGTTTTTCTGAAGCTTTGAGAGTTTGAAGATTGTCTATGATTCTTATGAAGAAAGTCTTTTTTTTTGTTGGGTAAACAGTTAGAGATTTGATAAAAGAGAGAGAAATAGAGATTTATAAATACAATTAAATATGGATCTTGAGATGTTCATTTGTCTCATCCATTGTATAGAGAAACAATTGCATTTTTCTTTGATTTGATATTGTGACCAAAACCAATTGGACTACGAAAACATAGATGGGATGGTTTTCTCTGTTTCGATTAATGAACATTCATGCGGAGGTAAATCTTACAAGATTGGATTAACAAACACTATTTGAGTCGTTAGCAAACTTGACTATCTGTCTAATACAACGGTAATATTTCAAAAATTGAGCCGTTACGAACTCTTCTTTTTAAATAGTCTCTCATATTTTTTAGTATATTACTATGTTTTTTCCTTCTCTCACATCTCTTATTCTTATTCACCATCAGAGAGAGTTTTAACTCCCATAATAAACTTTTTGTTTTCAGACATTCCTTTCACTCTAACTGATCGTATTGAGTGCTTCATGTTTTTGCAGTGTTTGTGTTTTAATGACTTTTTGTACATTATTTTGATTGTATGCAGTTAAAAAAAATGTATATATTGTTGCGGTCAAAGGGCAAAAAAATTTATGTATGTTTTAGGCGCGGTGAGACTTCGGGCCAGCACTCTTATGAGTATCGGACTTAGGCTTCACTTATTATTACTCAATGGAGTTTATATAACTTGTGTATGTGTAGAAGTTTGTGACATCCTTTTTAATTTGGTCTCTCCGATTTTGGCGCAGGTTTGTGAACACACTTGGGTGCTTGATTAATTCATAACTCTGAAAATAACCGAGAGAGTATCATCATACAAGTTTAAAAGAAATTACACTGGTCTCTCAATTAAAATACCGTTTCCATATATAACTAAAAGAAATCTTATACAAAAACAAATGAAAATTTAATTTTTTCACCCATTGCAAATGGAAAAGTGGTATATATAAAAAAAGCAAGTTAACATAACTTTTCATTTTTTTTCAAAATATTTATCAAAACTCTTTAACATTTTTCAAGACAAAGGAGGGTTTTATTTATAAGGGTTTAGGGTTTATAAGGGTTTAGAGCGAATAAGGGTTTAGAGTTATAAGGGTTTTAGGGTTTATAAGGGTTTAGGGTTTATAAGGGTTTCGGGCAAATAAGGGTTTATGGTTCATAAGAGTTTAGGGTTTATAAAGGTTTTTAAAAGCCCTAAAACCTTATAAACCCTAAACCCTTATTTACCCTAAACCCTTATAAACCCTAAACCCCTATTTACTCTAAACCCTTATAAACCCTAAACCCTAAACCCTTATTTACCCTAAACCTTTATAAACCCTAAACCCCTATTTACTCTAAACCCTTATGAACACTAAACCCCTATTTGCTCTAAACCCTTATAAACTCCAAATCCTTATGAACCCTAAACCCTTATAAGCCCTAAACCCTTATACGCCTTAAACCCTTATTCGCCACAAACCTATTTCGCCTTAAGCCCTAATATGTTATAATTTTAACCCTTTTGTTTCCTAGTCGGCCTTATTTTATTTGTTAAGTCCTATCTCGCGTTATTTATAATAATCCATATTTGTATTATTTTTATGTTTTAGATAATTTGCGTTTTTTTAATCATTTTTAGCTATTTATTTCGCCTTAGACCCTAATATGCTCTAATCTTCGTTTTGTTCTCCTAACCGGCCTTGTTTTATTTGTCTTAGTTCTAGGTCACCTATTTTCTAATAATCCATATTTGTATTATTTTTATGCTTTAGAATTTTTTTAATCATTTTTTAGCTTTTTATTTGCAACTCCACGACTAATAGGACCAGCGAAAAGAATCATGATCTCTCCAATTGAAGATTGTGAAAGTGGCTATCGATACTACTACTAGTACCACCAAAGATGTTATGGATGATGATGAGGAGGGACTCAAGGCCAAAAATGCAATCGTCTACATAAGGTACACGGACTGGTGCGAGGCTCGAGTTGGTATGGATGTTGATCGCTGATCGCGTAGCTATAGCCATCCCTAACCTAAGGCCAGTAAAGCAGGTGCTTTAGGCGCCACGAGATCATATACAATTTGGGGCGCCAAATTACAGAGAGTCTGTGGTAGTGTAGTGGTTATGACTCTCCATTATGACCATCAGGGATTGTCTTTGAAGCTCCGTGCCCACAATTTTATTGCTTTTTAAAAAATACCCATTTTTAGTGGGCTCAAAAAACAAATTTGGTTTTAGGCGCCAAAACAGTATGGGCCGGCCCTGGTCAGAAGAGCCTTCGATGAGTGTATGGGAGGCTATTATCTCACCAGTCAGAATATGATCAATCCAGTAGTTGGTATGGATGTTGATCTCGGACGTGGCTGTCTGTCGTCTGCACTAGACAAGATCCATTTGAGTATGTGACGAAAACAGTGGCGGTGATAGCTTGTCTCGTCTACTGATTTTAGTATCTACTTAAAAGAAAACAAAACTTTAGTTTTTGTTTCTCTTTGTTTCTAAAATGTAATTCTCTATCATTCCCCTATTTCCTAAGGCTTAATTTGAATAAAGGCTTTTTAGTTTTCAATTTTCTGCATTAAGGAATTAATGATTTGACATTTAATATTTTCATATTTAGAAATCTGATAAATAAAAAATATTAGTTAATAATCCGACAAATAACACAAAATGTTAAGTCGGTGTTAATTAAAATTACAATGTTTGTCCATATAGACAATATGACATGGATTGTAAAGTATAGACACTGATAATTTTGCTAAATAAACTCTCAGGTTTTCCAAAATATACAAATTCAACAAAAACATATCTCAGAAAAGGGCCCAACCGGGTTCGAACCGGTGACCTCTCGATCTGCAGTCGAATGCTCTACCACTGAGCTATGGACCCAAGCGATGTAAAAGTTAAACAGATGCTATACTATATATAAACACCATTAGCATAATCGCTGATTCGCTGAGAATGTGTAGGCCCAACAACTTCGCGGGCTTTGATAAATTTCCATACAACAACAAAACCCTAATTTCCGCAATTGCCCTTCCTCTGTTCATCGAACTGAAACTGAAGATTGAAGCGGAGGGAGATTCCTCCGGTCAATAATAGTTTAAAAAGGATGGGAAAACGAGGAGCTAAGAATCTTACAAGAGCTCAAGGAGGACCCAATCTCAAGTCTGTGCTTAGACACGACCACCTGAAGAATCTCGCTCTCTGGTCTGTCGCCAGAGATACTCCCATCCCGCCGGTAGCTACCTTGCCCAGCCGTCTACTTGCTGCCGAGGGAGAGGCTTCTGGGATTGCTCCTGATCCTGATCTCGTCTCTTGTCAAAGGTTACATATAAACCTCTTTCCTCTGAATCTCTGCTAGTGGAATTGAGATTGTCGAAATTGGTTTGTTTGAATCAATCTATAAAACCTTTCGTTTGCTTAGAATCAATTGTGGTTTGCGATTAGTGTAAAGATGAAATCTTGAGCCAACTTATCTTGGTCGCATTGTTCTGTGTGTTCGAACATTCGATTGCTTAGTGTTGACAAAGATTGGATTTATGTATTGATTTCAAAGGTTTTTGTTTCAGGTGTGAGACCATTCTTCAGCCTGGTTTCAATTGCAAAGTCAGAATCGACAAGGTTTCGGCTAAGAAGAAGAAGAAGAAGAAGCCTAACATTGTTGTGTTGCCTCAGAACAATGTGGTTTACTATTGCAGTTTCTGCTCTCACCGTAACCTCAAGAGAGGAACTTCGAGAGGTCAAATGAAAGAGATTTGCCCGCCAAAGCCAAAAGCCCCTAAGAAGATGAAGAAAGCGATGACGATGATGAGGCAAGAAACCCAAAGTAACATGCTTTCTTCACCTGAAAGAAGTGGGAAAGATCAGGTGGAGACTAGTGTTGTCGATACTCCGAAGCCAATGCTTACCTTGGAGAGGGATAAGAGAATCAGAAGATCCAAAAGTAAGAAACCGATGGAGCCAGAGAGTGTTCCTGAGAAAAAAGCAACAGTTGTTGGTGGATCAGACAATAGGAAGAGAAAATCATGGACAAGTATGAAGGAGATAGCTGAGACGAACAAGAGTTTTAAGATACCTTTTCGCTTGTGATGATCTTTTGTTTGTTATATTGACCAAAAACATGAATTTTGGTTAAAAGTAGAGTACATATATCTCTTCTTATTTAGCTCATAATCTCTTATGTAACTCGAGTCCTAGTCTACTTTGATCGTTTCTAGATTCCTTAGCTGTAACCTTTCCCCTACAATGGAAGCCGAATTAAGAATGAGTTTGTGAAGCGGATACTTCAAGAATAAGTTTGAAAAATCCCTAATGATGACTGTAGATAATTTGACAGCATACATTACTTAAACATAGTTATCGGTTTCACATCTCTTGGTCAATTTGCCCCCCTTAATAAATCATTCAGTTAGTTTGTCCCCTTAATTAATCCTCACTTAGTCAGCTCTTTTTGGGAGAAACAATCCAAAGTTTAAGAAATAAACAAAGACCAACCAAAAAAAGGTTAAACAAAGGCCAATGATCTTGTTAAATAACTTTTCCTCCCTCTTAATAGAAATCCTAAAAGAGATTAAAAACATGGAAACAAATAAATAAATAATTAAAACTTATTAAGAAACATTTGTATATCGTGTGCTGAATATTGAACTGAACAGTGACGGGGAAATGGTGGTGCGTTGCAAACCAATTGACAGTAAAATAAAATTTTCTTTGTCTCTTACTAGTTCCTCATTAACTTTTAAATACACATTATTGAGCTCCCACATAAAATATTCTTACCCTTGAGTTAGCTTCGTCAACTCTTTTGCACGTCGACTCTTTTGCGAAAACAACAAAACTGTTAGATTTCCATTGAAAATGAAGGGATACTTGAAGGGGAATAAATCAAACTAACAAATAAAATTTGTAAGTTACAAATTTGACCAATGAACTTGCTAACTTAAAAATCAACGACTCTTTCTCATAAATTTCTTAAGTCTACTGATCGTGCGCTTAATAAATGTGGAAATGATTCAAATTATATTATTATTACACATACATATTAGCATATAAAAAAGTTTTAGTTTAAATGAAAAACAAATTTTTGAAACAAGAGCATCCTCTATATTTACACACTTCCTTTCTTGTCTTCGTTAATTTTGTCTCAACTAAAAAGAAAATGGCAACAACAAAGAAAGTCTCTGCTCTCTTTTGCTTCTTTTCTCTATTCTGTCTCCTTTTAACAACTAACCAAACCATCTCCGAATCCGACCACATGGCAACTTTCTGCATCAAATCATCCGGAAACTTCAGTCGCAACTCAACTTACAACACTAATCTCTCCTCTTTTCGAAACCAATCATCCATCGTTAACTATTACAATCTCACGACTGGTCTAGCATCAGACACAGTCCATGGCATGTTCTTATGCACAGGTGACGTCAACATAACAACATGCAACGCCTGCGTCAAGACCGCAACGATCGAGATCGTCAAAAACTGCACTAATCATAAAGAAGCAATCATTTACTACTTCGATTGTATGGTTCGTTACTCAGATAAGTTCTTCCTCTCGACTCTAGAGACACAGCCTAATAGCGTTTGGATGTCTGTTGATCAAATACCAAAATCGTTGGGTCCGTTCAGAGAGAGATTGTCTGAGAAGATGGGAGAGGTTATCGTAAGATCATCTATGTTGTCTTCAGCTCTCACGCCGTATTATTACATGGATGTGACTCGATTTGATGGCTCCTATGATCTTGACTCTCTTGTTCAGTGTAGTCCACATTTGGATCCAGGAAACTGTACCACATGTCTGAAACTTGCGTTGCAAGAAATCACAGAGTGTTGCAGTCATCAACTTTGGGCTATGATCTTCACTCCCAAATGTTTTGTGAATTTTTATGTCACAACCTCATCACTGCCTCCGCTCCCATCACCGAATCGTAGCGGGTCTTTCTCGATTAATGGTAAGCTTATATTCTGATATTCATTATAATTTCAATTGTGGGAACACAATTGTGTATTTTGAGTTTCCCATTTCGTCTACATATTTACGAAAAGTGATTTCTCATCATTTTTTTTTTACTTACATATTGTCAGTATTGTAATGTTTTGATTTGTTTTTTTTTTCAGGAAATAATGAAATATTTTGGGGCATGGCTGTGGCAGCTTCGGTATCTGCACTTTTGGGTCTATGATAAGTTGATTTCTGCTTGTTATAAAGTAAGAGCAAATAATTCTTGTGGTTTAGTTTCATGTTTAATTGTTTGTGTTTGTCCCTGTTAGTTGACTTATTTGTTGAGTAAGAATTGGTTATAATTTGTTCTTCAGCTCATCTTTATTTTATGTATGTGGGGCTGGATAACAGACTTACGATTGTTTCAAATTTTACTTTTTTAAGATTGCGTTTATATGTGAAGAAGAAAAAAAAAAAGAAGACTTGGAGTGTTGATGTTAAGACGTAAGACTTGAGAAATAAAATCTGCTCTTTGCCCAAAAATGTGGTTTACTATTGCATGTTTTTTTTTTCATTTATATGGAGACGATTTTGAGGTCATTCAATATAGGATTACTTTGGGCAATGTGGAAACCACAATATATTGCTTTTTCAACCTCTAAATTGGTTTTGAGCTCATTCAATATATTACGTATTTACGTAGTTATCGTCTCCATATCTCTGACTAATTTTTTCCCTTAATTACTCCCCACTTGGAAATAATCTTTATCCTTTAGCATTGTCAACTCTTTTAGGAGAATCAAATTTGTAAGATTCATCTTAAAATTGCAATATAACTTAAACAAAGACCAACGGACTTTTAAAATCAACATTCATCTTAAAAAAGCAATATAACTTGCGACTTTTTCTCTTCATTTACAGGAACTTCGTATATTGATCCCCGGAGGAATTAAATGCTCTAAACTTAAAGTAGATGTCTAAACTTAAATGCTCCATTTCTAAACTTTGCATTCTTTATTTATTTGCTAAAAATAACTCAACAAATTGTCTATTCCTATATAAATTTATTATTTTTCTGTTTACCAAATTTTCTAGGTCATATAGTATTTGCAGTTTTGCACTAACTCACACATATACAAGGGCAATGTTAAAATAATGATTGACCCAAAAGAAAGAGAAACCTAAAAATGACCAATTCATTGATCTTCTTGATGGCCAATAACTACTTTTGTACACACACACACACACACACCTCTTTTCCTTCTTTTTGTCTCTACAGGTATAAGCATGGCAATGGCAACAACAATAAATCTCTTTGCTTTCTTTTGCTTCTCTTCTCTCTTATTCTTCTTTTCACCACTAACGAAACCATGTCCAAATCCGAGCCCAAGGACACATTCTGCATCAAATCATCCGCCAATTTCACTCGCAACACAACCTACCACCCAAATCTCAACACCCTCCTCACCGCTCTAACCAACCAATCATCTTTTTTCTAACTTGTCCTCTTAATTAATCTCCACTTGAAAATTGAATATATATTCTCACCCCAACCTACCACGTGTTGACTAAAAATCCAAGAAAAAAAAAACAAAACTGTAAGAATCGAACTATAAGTTAAACAAAGACCACAATTAATCAAAGACCAATGAACTTGTTAAATCTAAGACTTTCCCTCTCTATATAGAAATCCCTTTCTTCTTCTTTCATTTTTGTCTCATAACCCCAAAAGTAAAAGCATGGCGACAACAAAGAAACTCTCTGCTTTCTTAAGCTTATTTGTTCTCTTATGTCTTATCTTCACCACTAATCAAACCATGTCCGAATCCGACCACATAGAAACTTTCTGCCTCAGTTCAGCCGGAAACTTCACTCGCAGCTCAACTTACCACACAAATCTCAACACTCTTCTCTCTACTCTTAGCAACCAATCATCCCTCGCTAACTATTACAATCTTACCACTGGCCTAGCTTCAGACAGAGTCCATGGCATGTTCTTATGCACTGGCGACGTCAACAGAACAACTTGCAACGCCTGCGTCAAGACCGCAACAATCGAGATCGCCAAAAACTGTACTAACCATCGAGAAGCAATCACTTACTACTTTGATTGTATCGTTCGTTACTCAGATAAGTTCTTCCTATCGACCTTAGAGACAGAGCCTAATACCTATTGGGTGTCTAACGATCCAATACCCAAATCATTTGGTAAGTTTAGACAGAGCTTGTCCGAGAAAATGGGAGAAGTTATCGTTAGATCGTCTATGCTGTCTTCGTCACTTACTCCATATTATCTTATGGATACGACTAGGTTCGATAACTTGTATGATCTTGAGTCTATTGTTCAGTGTACTCCTTATTTGGATCCTGGAAACTGTAGCACATGTCTGAAACTTGCGTTGCAAGAAATCAGCGACTGTTGTAGTGATCAGCGTTGGGCTATCATCTGGACTCCCAAATGTTTTGTGAGTTTTGATACCTACAATTCATCGTTGCCGCCGCTTCCGCCGCCGAATCGTAGCGGTTCCTTCTCGATTAGAGGTGAGCATATATGATATATGTATAATAAAATGCTTTTACTTATATAGAGTGTTGATACGTGCCTTTGACATATTATGTATACTAGAAATATTAAAACCTATCAGAATGTAAGACAAGAAGTACATACATTTCTTTTAGTATTATGGTCGGTCATTGTTGTAATGTTTGGCTTCTCTTTTTTTACAGGAAACAATAAAATAGTTGGGGGAATGGTTCTTGCAGCGGCGGCTTCGGTGTTTGTGTTTTTGGGAGTATGATAAGGTTTACAGTTTACAGTCTTCGTCTTGGAGTAATTGGTGAAGCTCATCCTAAAGAACGTCTTCTAGGAGAAAGAAGCTCTTCATGTTTGGATACTGTTTAATGTTCTGAAAATGTTGAAGCTCTTCATCTTTCTTGGCAATCATATTTTGCAAGTTTGATACATGGCATATCAAGATTCAAAGATTATCACAAATATAAATACATAAAAAAACATGTGCCCATTGCAAAAACTGCCTTTTTAGCAGGAACACTTTCTCTTTGTAGTATTTCCTCTTTGCGAATTAAGAAGCCAAATAGTATCTATTAAAAGTGGGCAAAATATGAGAAATACAAAGTCATAGAATTCCTATTGTGTCTCCTTTTTTCTAGTGTTTTATTTGCTCGGACTGCCTTGTGATTTTCTTTCTCAATACTTTTTTTCTCTCTATATAACAATATAACAGTTATAAATAAATAATTTCATCTCGACAAAGCAAGAGCAAATAGAAAAAAAATGAGGAAAAATGTCCAAGAGTAGAAATGGTGTTGGATGTGTCGCTCTTTTCCTGATTTGTTTGTTCATTTCGACAGGTAGTTTGTATTGGGATATATGAATCTCACCAAAGGTTTGATTGTTGTGTTTATGATTTATTGTGTATTTTTAAAAATAATTTATTGTGAAAAGTTACATTTAATTTTAATTTTTGGGTACATATTCCGTATAAATATTATAAAAATATTAAATTTTGAATTTTTTTAAATGGGAAAGAAAAAAAAGATATTGCAAAATGTTGACTTCATGGGTAAATCTTTATACAAAATGATATATTGTGTTTTGTAGTTGACAAAATTAAAGGAAGTGATTTTGTTGAAATCTAGCTAACACTAAACTATGAATTGTTAATATCAATTATTTGTATATTTCTTATTCATTAGTAATATATTTTAATCAACAATTACTAATTTATCAGGAATGCTAAATGCTGATCGAGTCAACACTTATTGCCAAAAACTTCCATTTACAAAGGACCCAGTCGGCATATGTACTAAACCAAATCCTGACGCATTATGCAACGACAATTGCGGTATTCGCAGTAGTAAGAAAGGCAAATGTCTAATACTTCCGAAAAGAAGTCCACAGAAAATGTGCTATTGTTGGTATTATGATTCTACGTCTCCAGAATGCAGGAATTGAATCCGATGAATGTCACTAATAATTCTCATGGAAGTACTTTTTTTCTAATAATGATAAATGTGCTTTTTCTCTCTCTCATTTAATGCATGTAATAACGAATGAAATAATTTATTTTGGCTAATAAATATTGACTCTGTTAGTTAGTTAGTCGGTATTCATTTTTCAGATCCTAACAACATAAATTTTTATGTAAGACAAAAACCTGAATAAATAATAGTAGAAACAAACAACATTCTTTTTGAAGTGTAAAACAAGTTTCTTGTAACAAAGTAGAGAAAATGAAAATATCTAGTAACGCGTATTAAAATAATAATGAAAACTGAAACGTAGAGACTAAAAACAAAATAGTAATCATCTCGTATTAAAATTTAAAATAAAGAGAGGTAATCAAATTTCCGGTTGGGATCTGAAAACAAAATACTGTAGTCTCTTGTTTCCGTCGTCGTCCCTCCGAGAACGGTACGGCCTGCGGCGGAAAGCACCTCTGCGTCTGAGAGCGGAGGTAAAGAGAGTGTTGCGGCGGTAATCAAATTTCCGGATGCGAGGTTGGGATCTCGAATTTCGTTTCATTCCTAGTCGTANAGGTAAGCTTATATTCTGATATTCATTATAATTTCAATTGTGGGAACACAATTGTGTATTTTGAGTTTCCCATTTCGTCTACATATTTACGAAAAGTGATTTCTCATCATTTTTTTTTTACTTACATATTGTCAGTATTGTAATGTTTTGATTTGTTTTTTTTTTCAGGAAATAATGAAATATTTTGGGGCATGGCTGTGGCAGCTTCGGTATCTGCACTTTTGGGTCTATGATAAGTTGATTTCTGCTTGTTATAAAGTAAGAGCAAATAATTCTTGTGGTTTAGTTTCATGTTTAATTGTTTGTGTTTGTCCCTGTTAGTTGACTTATTTGTTGAGTAAGAATTGGTTATAATTTGTTCTTCAGCTCATCTTTATTTTATGTATGTGGGGCTGGATAACAGACTTACGATTGTTTCAAATTTTACTTTTTTAAGATTGCGTTTATATGTGAAGAAGAAAAAAAAAAAGAAGACTTGGAGTGTTGATGTTAAGACGTAAGACTTGAGAAATAAAATCTGCTCTTTGCCCAAAAATGTGGTTTACTATTGCATGTTTTTTTTTTCATTTATATGGAGACGATTTTGAGGTCATTCAATATAGGATTACTTTGGGCAATGTGGAAACCACAATATATTGCTTTTTCAACCTCTAAATTGGTTTTGAGCTCATTCAATATATTACGTATTTACGTAGTTATCGTCTCCATATCTCTGACTAATTTTTTCCCTTAATTACTCCCCACTTGGAAATAATCTTTATCCTTTAGCATTGTCAACTCTTTTAGGAGAATCAAATTTGTAAGATTCATCTTAAAATTGCAATATAACTTAAACAAAGACCAACGGACTTTTAAAATCAACATTCATCTTAAAAAAGCAATATAACTTGCGACTTTTTCTCTTCATTTACAGGAACTTCGTATATTGATCCCCGGAGGAATTAAATGCTCTAAACTTAAAGTAGATGTCTAAACTTAAATGCTCCATTTCTAAACTTTGCATTCTTTATTTATTTGCTAAAAATAACTCAACAAATTGTCTATTCCTATATAAATTTATTATTTTTCTGTTTACCAAATTTTCTAGGTCATATAGTATTTGCAGTTTTGCACTAACTCACACATATACAAGGGCAATGTTAAAATAATGATTGACCCAAAAGAAAGAGAAACCTAAAAATGACCAATTCATTGATCTTCTTGATGGCCAATAACTACTTTTGTACACACACACACACACACACCTCTTTTCCTTCTTTTTGTCTCTACAGGTATAAGCATGGCAATGGCAACAACAATAAATCTCTTTGCTTTCTTTTGCTTCTCTTCTCTCTTATTCTTCTTTTCACCACTAACGAAACCATGTCCAAATCCGAGCCCAAGGACACATTCTGCATCAAATCATCCGCCAATTTCACTCGCAACACAACCTACCACCCAAATCTCAACACCCTCCTCACCGCTCTAACCAACCAATCATCTTTTTTCTAACTTGTCCTCTTAATTAATCTCCACTTGAAAATTGAATATATATTCTCACCCCAACCTACCACGTGTTGACTAAAAATCCAAGAAAAAAAAAACAAAACTGTAAGAATCGAACTATAAGTTAAACAAAGACCACAATTAATCAAAGACCAATGAACTTGTTAAATCTAAGACTTTCCCTCTCTATATAGAAATCCCTTTCTTCTTCTTTCATTTTTGTCTCATAACCCCAAAAGTAAAAGCATGGCGACAACAAAGAAACTCTCTGCTTTCTTAAGCTTATTTGTTCTCTTATGTCTTATCTTCACCACTAATCAAACCATGTCCGAATCCGACCACATAGAAACTTTCTGCCTCAGTTCAGCCGGAAACTTCACTCGCAGCTCAACTTACCACACAAATCTCAACACTCTTCTCTCTACTCTTAGCAACCAATCATCCCTCGCTAACTATTACAATCTTACCACTGGCCTAGCTTCAGACAGAGTCCATGGCATGTTCTTATGCACTGGCGACGTCAACAGAACAACTTGCAACGCCTGCGTCAAGACCGCAACAATCGAGATCGCCAAAAACTGTACTAACCATCGAGAAGCAATCACTTACTACTTTGATTGTATCGTTCGTTACTCAGATAAGTTCTTCCTATCGACCTTAGAGACAGAGCCTAATACCTATTGGGTGTCTAACGATCCAATACCCAAATCATTTGGTAAGTTTAGACAGAGCTTGTCCGAGAAAATGGGAGAAGTTATCGTTAGATCGTCTATGCTGTCTTCGTCACTTACTCCATATTATCTTATGGATACGACTAGGTTCGATAACTTGTATGATCTTGAGTCTATTGTTCAGTGTACTCCTTATTTGGATCCTGGAAACTGTAGCACATGTCTGAAACTTGCGTTGCAAGAAATCAGCGACTGTTGTAGTGATCAGCGTTGGGCTATCATCTGGACTCCCAAATGTTTTGTGAGTTTTGATACCTACAATTCATCGTTGCCGCCGCTTCCGCCGCCGAATCGTAGCGGTTCCTTCTCGATTAGAGGTGAGCATATATGATATATGTATAATAAAATGCTTTTACTTATATAGAGTGTTGATACGTGCCTTTGACATATTATGTATACTAGAAATATTAAAACCTATCAGAATGTAAGACAAGAAGTACATACATTTCTTTTAGTATTATGGTCGGTCATTGTTGTAATGTTTGGCTTCTCTTTTTTTACAGGAAACAATAAAATAGTTGGGGGAATGGTTCTTGCAGCGGCGGCTTCGGTGTTTGTGTTTTTGGGAGTATGATAAGGTTTACAGTTTACAGTCTTCGTCTTGGAGTAATTGGTGAAGCTCATCCTAAAGAACGTCTTCTAGGAGAAAGAAGCTCTTCATGTTTGGATACTGTTTAATGTTCTGAAAATGTTGAAGCTCTTCATCTTTCTTGGCAATCATATTTTGCAAGTTTGATACATGGCATATCAAGATTCAAAGATTATCACAAATATAAATACATAAAAAAACATGTGCCCATTGCAAAAACTGCCTTTTTAGCAGGAACACTTTCTCTTTGTAGTATTTCCTCTTTGCGAATTAAGAAGCCAAATAGTATCTATTAAAAGTGGGCAAAATATGAGAAATACAAAGTCATAGAATTCCTATTGTGTCTCCTTTTTTCTAGTGTTTTATTTGCTCGGACTGCCTTGTGATTTTCTTTCTCAATACTTTTTTTCTCTCTATATAACAATATAACAGTTATAAATAAATAATTTCATCTCGACAAAGCAAGAGCAAATAGAAAAAAAATGAGGAAAAATGTCCAAGAGTAGAAATGGTGTTGGATGTGTCGCTCTTTTCCTGATTTGTTTGTTCATTTCGACAGGTAGTTTGTATTGGGATATATGAATCTCACCAAAGGTTTGATTGTTGTGTTTATGATTTATTGTGTATTTTTAAAAATAATTTATTGTGAAAAGTTACATTTAATTTTAATTTTTGGGTACATATTCCGTATAAATATTATAAAAATATTAAATTTTGAATTTTTTTAAATGGGAAAGAAAAAAAAGATATTGCAAAATGTTGACTTCATGGGTAAATCTTTATACAAAATGATATATTGTGTTTTGTAGTTGACAAAATTAAAGGAAGTGATTTTGTTGAAATCTAGCTAACACTAAACTATGAATTGTTAATATCAATTATTTGTATATTTCTTATTCATTAGTAATATATTTTAATCAACAATTACTAATTTATCAGGAATGCTAAATGCTGATCGAGTCAACACTTATTGCCAAAAACTTCCATTTACAAAGGACCCAGTCGGCATATGTACTAAACCAAATCCTGACGCATTATGCAACGACAATTGCGGTATTCGCAGTAGTAAGAAAGGCAAATGTCTAATACTTCCGAAAAGAAGTCCACAGAAAATGTGCTATTGTTGGTATTATGATTCTACGTCTCCAGAATGCAGGAATTGAATCCGATGAATGTCACTAATAATTCTCATGGAAGTACTTTTTTTCTAATAATGATAAATGTGCTTTTTCTCTCTCTCATTTAATGCATGTAATAACGAATGAAATAATTTATTTTGGCTAATAAATATTGACTCTGTTAGTTAGTTAGTCGGTATTCATTTTTCAGATCCTAACAACATAAATTTTTATGTAAGACAAAAACCTGAATAAATAATAGTAGAAACAAACAACATTCTTTTTGAAGTGTAAAACAAGTTTCTTGTAACAAAGTAGAGAAAATGAAAATATCTAGTAACGCGTATTAAAATAATAATGAAAACTGAAACGTAGAGACTAAAAACAAAATAGTAATCATCTCGTATTAAAATTTAAAATAAAGAGAGGTAATCAAATTTCCGGTTGGGATCTGAAAACAAAATACTGTAGTCTCTTGTTTCCGTCGTCGTCCCTCCGAGAACGGTACGGCCTGCGGCGGAAAGCACCTCTGCGTCTGAGAGCGGAGGTAAAGAGAGTGTTGCGGCGGTAATCAAATTTCCGGATGCGAGGTTGGGATCTCGAATTTCGTTTCATTCCTAGTCGTAGAAAATGAGAGACAAAGAAGAAATAAATCAAATCAAAATCCCCACTAGGATAATTTAGGTCACACAGCAATCTGTGAATTTGGAGTAAATCATAAACTCGCGAAATTAACAACCAACGGTTTAGGTGCCCATAAGGAGGAATCTAGGCGAATCAAGGATTAGAGAGAATGGTAAAAGAGGGATCTTGATAACACTTGGTCTGGTGTTTGTTCTTTGAGCAACTCTCAATTGCATTCTTGATTGTGCAGTCACGGAAGCGCGGGTGGAGACCGAGATGGTCCGAGCGATGGCTGCTACAAGTATACAGGCGGTGACTGAGTTGGGATGATTGCAGATTCTGCTTAAGCTCAGGTATACATTCTCTCGTTAATCAGCTTTTAAGATTAGAGATATACACATTTGGGATTTACTCTTGTTATGCTTCAGGGCTAACAAGGAACAATTGAGCTCTACTTTTTATTTACTGATCAAGATAAGCTTGGTGATACTGATATGATACTGCAACAATTTGTCCAAGAGTGAGAGTTTAGTTATAGGTTTGAAACTTTGGGGTTGGGGTTTTGTTAAAAGATTAGATGGGTTTTCACATATTCTTATGCAAGCATTTGATGCAAATCAAGCTTATTGAGTCATATCCTCCTTTGAATTCTCCAAATGTTCTTTAGCTGAGAGTGATACACTTTGCATCTTCAGGTGCGTCTTGAAATACAGTTTACTGCATTTACACAGTAACTCCTGATACTGGAACACGCCTCTGTCCCAAGTGCGTTTACAATAGGCGAGAAATGGTACAATCATAGCTGCGCGTAAACCACCATGTTTTGCTGTTAAACGCATCAATCTCTATTTATATATTTTTGAGTCTGATTTTAAACCAACCCTCGTCTTCCTTTCCTTCTTTCTTTGTGCAGTTTTCGGTATCAATGCCTACTAGCGGAAGAGAGACGCAATCACCAAGATTCTGGTTGGTTCGACGGGAAGATCTAAAGTTTCTTCATCCCAAGACCAAGTAGAACGCAAGCAAGCCGGTTAGTATATACAAACTCAATTTTTTGTTTCTCTACCTTAGCCCTTAGGACATAAGCCAATTGATATATAAGCTAGTACTGTAGTATACAACAATAAACAAAATAGTGCTTTGGTTGCTTGCATCTGATGATAACGTAGCAAGTTCTAAATATTTGACCTATTAGAGAAAATAGATTGTTAATTTCAACCAAGGTTTTTTTTGGATAATTATGAATCATAATTAGTATTGCCCCGGAGAAATCAAATCACATGTTGAAATCAAATCACATGTTGAAATTAATTTAAGCGAGTTGTAGAAGTCAAGCAGTGTGGAAATTCGGATTATATTGTCGACTCAAGTTAGGCTAGAGAGAAATATATAAAGCCGATGCTAAAACCAAATTTAAAGAAAACCAAAAACGAGAGAGAGAGAGAGAGAGAGAGAGAGAGAGAGAGAGAGAGAGAGAGAGAGAGAGAGAGAGAGAGAGAGAGAGAGATGAGGCTACTTTTCTTCTTCATCTTAGTTCTTGAACTTTCCTCTAAATATGAATCGAAAATCTTACCGGCAGAGCCGTACAAGCTATCTTCGCAAAGAAACATGTTTTCCCCATCCAAATTCTTTGTTCTTGGCCTTTTCAGACCGGGAGCAGATGAGCGATGGTATCTCGGCATATGGCACCACAGGTTTCCAGAACAAGTGGTATGGGTTGCCAACAGAGACACCCCACTCTCGGAGCCCATCGGAACCCTGGAGATCATGGATGCAAACATTGTCCTCCTTGATGAACACGGTACACGTGTCTGGTGGACCAATGGGACTAGCACAACTCCCATGGGATCGCCGCTGATTGGAGAGCTTCTTGACAGCGGTAACTTAGTCTTGAGACACTCCAAATCAGGTGGGTTTTTGTGGCAGAGCTTTGATTTTCCAACGGATGCTCTAGTCTCGGAGATGAAGCTGGGCTGGGATGCCAAATCTAATCTAAACAGAGTATTGAAGTCTTGGAGAAGCTTTGACGATCCATCGTCGGGGGAGTTCACCTTTGGGGTGGAACGTCATGGGCTCGTGCAGAGTTTTATTCGCCAGAAAGGTGTGCCAACCTTTAGAGACGGCCCATGGAATACCATAACTGACGGGAAGATAGGTGAAAATCTAACCTACGCGACCTACAGCATACTGGTCACTGAAGATGAGGCATCATACTTCTTCCGTCTCACGAATGACTCCTTCTTCTCCATACTGAGACTTGATTACGGGGGCAGGTTAAAGCAGTCAACGTGGATTCCAAAAGCGTTGAAACCGAAAGAGCATACTATTCCAGAAGACATGTGCGGTTGGTACAACAAGTGTGGGGCAAATGCTCTCTGTGGCAGAGACGCATCCCGGGAAAACTGCGATTGCCTACCCGGGTTTAAGCCGAGACCACGAAGCATGGGGTTCGCTAGACTGGGCTGGTGGGTGTGAGAGGCAATCAAGGTTGAACTGCTATACAGATGGCTTTGTGCGGCTTGGGACGATGAAGTTGCCTGATGCTTCAAAGTCTATCGTCGACATGGGAATCGGGCTCAAGGAATGCGGAGAGAAATGCCTCGGAAACTGCAAATGTAGAGCATATGCAAACGCGAATATGCAAAAAGGCGGCTCAGGCTGTGTTATTTGGGTCGGAGAGCTCCTCGATCTCCGCAAGAACAACTTTGCCGGCCAAGATCTCTTCGTTAGGTTGGAAGAAAATGATGCAGGCTAGTGTTACTTTCTCTCTTTCTGGTTTCCACAATCTCTTTATACCGAGAAATCGTTTTATTTGACTCTTTTACTTGTGTTCTTCTTTCTTCAGCGGCAGCAGAGGAAAAGAGACATTCCCAAGAAAAACCAAAAAAAAAAGAGAGTAGCAAAACATTAGGCTTGATTGTCGGAGTCGGGACTGTGCTTCTTGTGGCTCTTATCATCATCGCTTTGATTTGCTTATGGAAAAGAAACAAGATCCCACCGACTCCAAGTGCCACTACTGAAGCAGCAGCACCCATCGGTATGCTTTTAATTTTTGTCATTCTTTTGAATTAAGATTGTCAAGCACAAGAGATTAGAAGAAACTAATTACTTATGTTATTTTTAAATAAACAAAGGCGCTTTCCAATGTGCGCCCATGGAGCTAGTTAAGATTGCCTCTGCCACCGGAAACTTTTCTGATTCCAACAAGATCGGGCGAGGAGGTTTCGGTATCGTCTACAAGGTAAATCTACATAATAACATAAACTCTACTTAATATACACAGTATATATCATTGTGCGTGCTTAGATTCAGTGTAACTTGTCAAATATGGTGACAGGGGACGTTACTTGACGGGCAAGTAATCGCAGCTAAAAGGCTGTCCAAAAGGTCTGATCAAGGGATCGAAGGTTTCACCAACGAGGTGAAGATGATCGCTAGCGTCCAGCACAGAAATCTTGTCCAGCTTTGAGGGGGAAGAAATGATTCTGGTCTTCGAATTCCTCGAGAATTTCAGCCTTGATAATTACCTTTTCGGTTAGTAACTACCAACTTGTATAACCCTTGCCATACTCTACTCTAATACTTGTTTGAATGTTATGTTTCGGGAACTAAAACTGACTTTGGCTTCATTTTCACAGACAAGACAAAAAGTGCTCTGCTTAACTGGGAGAAGCGACTCCGAATCACAAATGGTATCGCTCGGGGACTCTTGTACCTTCACCAAGATTCTCGGTGTCGAATGATCCACAGAGACTTGAAGCCCAGCAACATCTTGCTGGACAAAGATATGATCCCAAAGATTGCGGATTTCGGGATGGCCACACTTTTTGAAAGCGATGGAGCAGAGGCTAGTAACACAAGCGTGGCTGGAACTTAGTAAGCAATCTCAATCTCAATCTCAAAAGTCAAAACTTTTCATTAGAATAACTAACTCATGTGGATACAACAAGTAATTAATTAACAATCTCAAAACTTTTCTCTTTTCAGCGGCTACATGTCTCCGGAATATGCGATAGACATGATATGCTCGGTGAAGTCTGACGTTTTCAGCTTCGGTGTCTTGGTACTTGAGATGATCTCAGGTAAGAAGAACTCTGACTTCTTCCACACGGACGAGGAAAGCCTTCTAAACTATGTAAGTTTTTGAAAGACAAGGAAATGGAATTCGTTTCCTGTTTGATATTGATAAACCGTAAGCGCTCCAACGAATAGCTAACTGAGGAACTGGATGAACAGGTATGGAGGAACTGGAAGGAAGGCAAAGGGCTGGAGATGGTCGATCCCGTAATGGAAGAAGCATCACCATCAACGTTTCGACCACAGGAGGTCTTAAGATGCATACAGATCGGCCTCCTTTGTGTGCAAGAATGTGCAGAGGATAGACCGCCCATGGCGAATGTCGTTTTGATGCTCACTAGCGACACAACAGAAATGGATCAGCCAAGACGGCCTGGCTTTTGTGTCAGCAGAAATCGTTCGTCTCCCAAAACGCGAAACGAAGATACTTGGACTGTGACCCACGTAACTCTCTCGGCCATCGAAACTCGGTAATGCCACGACATGATCACTTCTCTCAAGTCTGAACTATCCAGCTCTTCTCCTCAGTCCTCACACATCATCTTTTCTTCATAATGCTCCGAGTAAATCGGCAAAATTAGAATTTCTCTCTTTCTTATACAGTATATATATTTCTTTATCTCCCGATGTCCTAAATTATACAATAAAAAAAACATGTGCCCATTGCAAAAACTGCCTTTTCAGCAGGAACACTTTCTGTTTGTAGTATTCCCATCATTTGCTTCTAAAAATTAGACCCAATTCTCGTGTGTAAATAAGTCAAATTTTACATTTCCTGTTACTCGTATGAGGTTTTGTTTTTGTACCTTACCCGATTTAGTTTAATTTACCTTCTCGGACATGTCCGCCCGGTTTATTATTCTAATAAACTTTATACAATCTTCTTTTGCTTTTACGAATTACTAAAAGTGGGCAAAAATATGAGAAATACAAAGTCATAGAACTCCTATTGTGCCGCCTTTTTTCCAGTGTTCTATTTGCACGGATAACCTTGTGATTTTCTTTATATAACAATAGCACATTTATATATATATACATAAACCATTTCATCTTGACAAAGCAAGAGCAAATAGAAAAAAACGAGGAAAAATGTCCAAGAGTATAAAAGGTGTTGGATGTGTTGCTATTTTCCTGATTTGTTTGTTCATTTCGACAGGTAAATTGTATTAGGATATATAAATCTCGCCAAATGGTCGATTGTTGTGTTTATGATTTATTGTGTATTTTTGAAAATAATTCAGTAATTTTTATCATATTAGAATTAAAATATATACATTACTGAGAAAAAATACATTATTTAATGTTTGTGTTGATATTCCGTATAAATATTTTATAAAAATATGAAATTTTGATTTTTAAATGTGAAAGAAAACAAAAATACATATTGCAAAATACTTCATTGGTGAATTTTTATACAAAATAATATATTGTGTTTTATTAGTTGACAAAAAGGAAGTGATTTTGTTAAAAATCTAGTTAACACTAAACTATAAATTGTTAATATAAATTATTTGTATATTTCTTATTCATGTGTATTATATTTTAATCAACAAATACTATTTTATCAGGAATACTAAATGCTGATCGAGTCAACATTGATTGCACAAAATTTCCATTCCCAAAGGACCCAGTTGGCATATGTACTAAACCAAATCCTGACGCATTGTGCAACCAAAATTGCGGTATTAGAAGTTCTTATAAGGGCAAATGTCAAATACTTCCGAAAAAGAGTCCAAATAAAATGTGCTATTGTTGGTATCATGTTGCTGGTGGTGCAAGTTGCCAGTAATGAATCATGAATGTCAATAATAGATCTCATGGAAGTACTTCTTTTTAATATTGATAAATGTGTTTTTTTTTTCTCTCATTGAATGCATGTAATAACGAATGAAGTAATTTGTCTTGGCTAATAAATATTGACTCTCTTACATGGTTAGTCGGTTTTCATTTTTTAGATCCTAACAACATAATTTTTATTTTAAAACAACAAGCGTAAAACAAGTTTAATTGCTTTTCGGGAGAATAATAATAGAAGCAACATCCTTTTTAAAGTGTAAATCAAGTTTCTTGTAACGGAAATTAAAAGCATGTAATAACGAATGAAGTCAAGTTTAGAAGCATAAATAAAGGACTGAGATCAAAAGCCACTTCTATTGGAGCGTTTAAGTAAAGAAGAAAAGGGAATAATCAAAGCATTGATAAATTGTTGATGGTATTGTCTCTTCTTCGTATCTCTCTTCTCTGTGTGAGTATGAATCTTATATTCTATCCTGAGAATCTCTTCTTCAATCCAGATTATCTGCTGATGAAATCAGAATCCTTGTTTTATGAACAATGATTCTTATTGTGCGTGCGTTTTTGAGTGATTTACATTTTATCTGTAATATATTGTTTGAGAAACAAGAGGAAATCAATCGAAATCCCACTACTTGTCTTGTGAAAGTGGAAGCTGAATTTAGGATCACAGAACACTTGTGAAATTGGAGTGATTATAGACATAATAATGTCATAAATCATAACTCTAACATAGAATTTTGAGAAAATTTTTGTTGAATTTGGAATGAGCAAAGAAAGAGACATGATAACGATTTAGGTGTGGAAACCCTATTCAACTTACAAATATATGTCATAAATCATAACTCTGAATACTTGATCTTCTGTTACTAGGAACTAGGAAACTCCTGCTTTGGTTTGTAATAGGTCTTAGAAGATGATTTTTTTTCTTTTTTCCTGAATACATGAGCTTTCTCCAGTGGCCAATGTGGTTGTCTTGTCCGTAGGTGTTCAAAGTAAGCAGTTCCTAGGATGGCTTTGCAGGGCTCGTAAGGGTTTGTCTTATATGAATAGTGTAGCTAGGCTTTGATCTCGCTTTACTGGAATAATTTGTCCAAGAGTGAGTTTCGTATTCAATAATTCTTCAAATTTTGAATCTTCAAGGCCTAAGCCGAGATATATTAATGTCTTTGGCCCCCACCAGAAAACTTAGACAATGATCGAGATTCATTTTGGTGCCTACGTTCATCTGCTGAATCTGAAGTTGTTCTTCCGAGTAAACCAGATCCTTGTCTTCGTCTTGGAGTAATTGGTGAAGCTCCTCCTAAAGAATGCCTTCTAGGAGAAGAAGACTCAAACCTTAGATTGTTTAAGCCACGTGTTTGGACAACGTTTACGTTCTGAAACTTATGAAGCTCTTCATCTTTCTTGGCAATCATATCTTTCAAGTTTGATACCTGCATGCAAATATCAAAGGTTATCACAAATATATAAATAAATTTCCATCATTGTCAAAACTTTGGGAGGAGATAATTGTTGATTTGTCATTTGTCAAGTCTAATTCATTTCTTAAAAAAAACACACTCGTGGAAATGGTAGAAAATGGACGTAACTCTCACATTGGAGTAAACCATGCACTATAAATGTGTGTGTCATATACGTTAGTTTTACTTTATCTTTAATCTTTTTCGGAGGATCGATTTTGGTGTTTGAATCTTATGAAAAAAATTATTAGAAGAACCTGTTCCATGAGTTGTCTAACATCGCGTCCCTCCTTATGGCTTCTCGCTGCACCTAACTCGACACCAGAAACTCTTTCCGCAAATTTCAAAGTACTTACTGTCTCAGCATATGAAGCTTCATCGGGATTAATCTGAACAAACATAAGAGTTTTCGCTTGTCCGCCTAACACAAAATCAAAAGTAAAAGAGTTATACAACAAACAAAAATGCCACATGATTAAGAAAAACAAAATTCATCAAAGAGTGAGTGTATCATAGATAGTAGTACCCAAAGAGTTCTGAAGGACTTGTGTTAGCTTGCTGTTTCTATAAGGTACATGAGGATTCTTATGTGCTAGAGCGAAAATAACATCTCCAAGAGCTGACAGTGACTTGTTTATATGTTGAGCTTCTCTAAGTCTCTCTCCGGTTACTTCAGAGCGATCGACTCTCTCACTACCAGCAAGATCAACCAAATGCAAACTACCACGCAACGTAGAGTCAGTCTTGACGTCAACACCACGTACATGAACAGAAAGAACGCTGCAAAAAAAAAAAGATAGCCAGAAAATGTTTTAACTTAAATATCTATGCAAACAATGTATATATGTATATATATTTAATGAAAACCAAACCTGTGTGATCTACTGCTCTTTTCATTAAGAGCTGTGGCACCAACGGCTCTATTCTTTAACCCAACATTCATCAATTCAAGAACATCTTGAGTTGATCTTACACAATGCATGCTTGCATCAGGGACCGCGAGGCCATTCGGTAGAGCAGTATTCCAAATCCCAAGTGTATGTAAGTTAAGAAAAAATTACGTACATTTGTAACATATAAGAAATGATAACGCTTAAAAGATCAAGTACCAGGTTAATTATATTAGAGAAGGATATCTTTTATTGGGGCCATCATTAGAAAGTAGGTCACGAACTTGCTCATTGTAAATCTCAACCATTTGAACACCAACTTCGTATATCACTGTGTTTTGTCTACTTTGAGTGAAGTGAAACAAGTCATTTAAAGCTCGATAGTTTACACCCCAATCTTCTTCTGAATTTATGCTTGGTCCGCTCTATATTAAACAAAATGACATTACTTATTAATGTTTCATGTTAGGCATTAGAGACTAGAGAGAACGAAAGCATTCTATATTTCTTACCATTGTATAAGTCTTTCCTGATCCTGTCTGACCATAAGCAAATATACACACATTGAAGCCATCAAGAATGGAACGAATCAATGGTCGAGTATCTAAGAAAACCTCCTCTGCATAAACAAGATTTATTACAAGTCTTTAACTATATTTTCTTCATATATATATGAAAAGAAAAAGCGGTAAAGTCTTAGTTAAACCTTGAGTTGATGCGGGGCCAAAGACTTTGTTGAATTTAAATAACCGATGTCTATCTTTGCCTTGGTTTAAGGGATTTACAACTACTAGTTCACCATTCTCACCAATGTATTCTATTGATGTTTCTCTCTTGTTTTGCCCTTGAAGGAATGGTCTTATCCGGCAATAGACTCTTATATTTCCTTTCATAAGCAAACAACAGAAACAATCAACATAAGGTAGAATTACGATGCTCAGCCAAATGAAGTAGAATTACTCAAATATACCTTTTAATTCTTGCACTTCATTGTAAAGTCTTCTATTCTCTTCAACGATTACTTGGTAATTTTTTGCTGCATCAGCCACTCCTCTAAGCTTCAAGCCTATGGTGTAAATTAAAAGGAAAAATTGCATTAGGTAACATGTTATAGAGTGATATTAAGGCAAAATATAGTATGATACAAATTTTTTTGAAAATATTTACATTTTTAAGGCCAACCTTATATTTCTATATTGTTTTTAAAGAAGATAGTGTTCTATGAAACTCAATAATATAAAACAACAAAACAAAAAAATGTAAATTGACAACAACAACAACAACATCAAAAAAATTGAATTAAACTGCGTGTAATACAAATAGATAACACTAAAAGCCAAGAAAAAAAAAAGAAAATTATGACAATATTCAATCTTACCATAGTAATTTAGATCTTGGAAGTAGCTCTCTCCTGTCTTTAGGACTTCATGTTTTAAAGCCATTGAAGTAGCTTTCAACTCCTGCAGAATTCACAAAACTCTATGATAGTTAATACTATAGTACTTCATATATTAGGGCTAAACATAGTTACGAAACTATCAATATAATAAGTTACTTAACCTGCAAAGCTTCTGACTGGTGGTTATAAAACTCTTGTATGTTCGTTCTTTCTTCTCCCATCTTTTGGTTTTAGTTTCATATAACTTCTCAAGTTCTTTCGCTTTTTCGGTTGAATCTATTACACATAACTCTGAATCCTTTATTTGCTTCTCCAACTCATTTTGAGCATCTTGTGCGTTTGATTTTAATTCCAAAACCTGTTTTGCATATGTCTCTTTCATAATTTCAAATTCTTGCTTCAACTTAGAAAGCTCAGCATCACTGCGCTCTTTTCCTTTTTTCAGTTTCAGCAATTCGTGTTCTGATGACCTTAGCTACAGAGCACAACATAGTAAAAAAATGATTTTGTTATAACAAAAATCGCAATAAAATAAAAAGCTTTTGCAACTAGATATTGAGTTTGATAATTAGTACCTCATTTTCATCTGTTATACCAGATGCCAAAGTTTCTAAGACATTTATTCTTGATCTAAATTTTTCTTCACGAACCCTAAATAGTATATTTTGCTGCACAAACATGTGTATTGTATCAAGAGGTATATTATAAACGAAAAAAAAAACCTTGAGATAATAATCATACATTCTTTAGGTTCTCAGCTTGATTTGAGATCCGTTGTTCCACAACTTCAACAATGCCTCTCAGGACATCTACAAAGGCCTGCAAAACAGAGCGATCAAACAAAAATGAAGATTGAGAAAATAATTTTCACAAACTAACCATGCAAAAATATTTCCTTACATGTGATACATTCACATTCATCTTCTGCACGTTCTCATCAAGAAGCTTATCGAGCATGTCAAACAATGACCGAGTAGAAGTATTCTACAACGAGAAATAGAAATGAAATTAGAATTAGAAGTTGAAGGTTTGATTAGGATTTAGGGATCAAAGAAATGAAACATGGATAATCGAGGTTAAAACACAATTTACTTAAACGATGTTAGAACATTTTACTTGTAAAGTATTTGATTGTATTAAGTCCAGAATTTTAGCATGGGATAAATTGATATCAGATGCTTCCTTAATCTGGAATCCATCATTAGAGTTGCTATCAACTTCCTTTGAATGGTGCTCAGGCAAACTCCATCTTCTCCTTGCACAAAGTGTATTCTTATCATATCCATCATCAGAGAAACTAGCTTTAAGCGCCTTAAGAGATTGTAAAACTGGAATCATATCCCCCTGCATCGACAGACATTATAGGAGAAATATCTTGAGATGTTCATCTCAAAACACAAATGTTTCACATGTAAAATTTGGATGTGTGTTTTAGGTGACAATGTTATTCAACCAATTAGTTCATTTCGAGATTTAAAGAAAATAAATTATAACAATTTATTTTTAAACTCACCCTAATCATTATATACATTCATCTAAAACTTACTATTGTATCAAATGATATCATTTCAAAGAGAATTTAAGCACTATTATCGAGGAAAGGAAACAAACCTGCTCTAATTCCGAGACTTCAAATCTAGGCAAGGCCATTTCATCCATGGCTGTCAAAAACCTCTCAATATTTACAGAAGCAAGCTCAAAACTTCCTCCCTATTGGATCATCCAAATTTAGAGAGTGAATCCAGCAGAAAATGACTAAGGTAAATAAAAAACAGAGAAAATTAATAAACGAAAATCAAAAATAGGAACACGCAAAAGCAATTACCATTTTCATTGAACCAGGACTAAGCTGGTTCAAAAGATTACACAAGAGAGTGCCATCCATTAAGCATGCTCGTAGTTCTTCCTCTGAAGCCTCCCATGGTAAATTCAAATAAGGAAGTGTCTCATTTAACCACTCTACTAAACTCTGATGACCTACAAGCCAAATTGAAGCTGGTTAAGAACAAATTAAGAAAGAGTAATAAGAATTTTAAAACAAATTAAAAAGAGGAGATAAAATATCAAAGAAGGTAGTAAAGGAACGTAACCATTGCCTTGCTTAGTATCATCTATACTTTTACGGCTTTCTGATCCATCAAAACTCAGAATGCTGCTTGGTCCATCTGATCGACTACGAACACTAATCATGCTGGATCCTTCTTTACTTCGTTTGTTCATTTCTAGACCTGTAAAAGCAAATACACCATTTCGTCAACATAACCAGACTTTCCTACAATAAATGGTTTGAAATTTCATACCAAACTGAGTTCTAGTAAGCTAACTATATCGATTCTTATAAAAAAAATTGTCTTTTAGGGGGAACAAAAAAAAAAATCAAACGCTTAGTTATACCAAATGTTTTTAAAATATTTATAGAGTTTTTCACGTATTTGTTAAAACATGCAGATGACCTAACATGCCATTTTAATTCGTTTGTTATTCTTGAAACATTACACGGGTTAACTAAATACACGTATGATTGAAAATATCGTGGAAATTTACAAAACATCAATCTACACAAAACAGAAAACAAAGCCTAAAACATCGATTTTGTAAAACAGATGGAGTCAAATTCTCAAGAAAAGTTATGGTCAAAAAAAAATTCTCAAGAAAAGAAAGAAATCGTTTACAAAAAACAATGCCATAATGCTGAACAATTCAACCCATATATTCATCTGAAATTCGTTAATACGTTACCAAGATTTCGCAGGGAAAAAAAATAACTCTATGGAAACATCCAATCCACAAGCCACAGGGATGGTCTCGAGGAAAGTCAACAATAGATTATCAGAACGGCGGAAAGAGGAGGTTGACGTACAGTTGATTTCAAAATTTCCGGTTTTTTTCTGTTTTGCCTCGTTATGAAATACAAGAAAAGAAAAGGAGGAAAAAACGCTAATTACGGGGATAATAAGTACTGTAATTGGTTCCTCTTATAATTTTATAATTAGATAAAATGACTGGAAACCTTAAAGATAAATGAAAATTATATTTTACGTTTGATTTGCTTTTACGCAAATATGGTTCTTGGTGGGCCCTAGCTATGGTAATTCTACAAAGACATTCCCACCTTGTGGCTTCTGTTCTGTCGTTGCTTTTTTATTTTGCCCATTATCTGGTAAAGTTAGTTTAAAGGCGAAATTGTTATAGAAAAACAAAAACAAAAGTGTTATCGAAAATGTTTTGGACGATATATAAAGACTACACGTTTACGGGCTAAAGCCTAAAGGCCCCATGGAGTATTTTCAATAAAAACTAGTCAATCAAGTAACTTTTTTTTTAACAAGACTATTCTCGACTGCAAGACTATTCAAATCTAAACATTAATGATTAATCTAATTTTGTTAGGAGAGCAGCAAGTATTTTTTATATTATTAAATCAAAAATCTATCTTGGTGATTTATTCCTTATAGTTAGACACTACTTTCATCTTTATCGTAAGAGAAAATGTGTACTTTTAATTTTTAAGCAGAAATGCAATATTTTCATTTCTAGTTCAAAAACTGTTATTGTTACGTTGATTTCAGAATTATCGATAGTAGGTTTTCAGTGAATCTTTTATTATTTAATTTATGAGAACTATTTTTAAAAAAATCAAGTTTTTCAGTGAATGCGTGGCGCCACGCTGATCATCCATAGATCGTGGAAAAGAGTGGTGGAGTAAAATTGTGTTATAAGATGATTAAAATTAAATGTCAAAAAGTTAGGAGAATGTGCTTTCGCATTAATTACTCTGTATAATAATAGTCTTGAAATAAATAAGACAATATAATTCAGAATTCTTTATTACCAATCACGTGGCATATATTGTAACGCAAATCAATTTGCCATAACAAAAGAAAAGTCGTCTTTAGTGTTCATCTAAACTAATTGTATATTTATAGAAGATAATCTTTTATTTTTGTTAATTTTTAATGGAAGATACACATAATCACTTTCTATAATACAGTATATAACAGTACATTCCTATTTGAACCAAAAAAAAAAACAGTACATTCCTATAATAAAATAAAAAACATAAAACAAAGAACATACATGAGTACATTATATATGTTTTTTTATTTTTTATAAAGTACATTATATATGTTTATGTATTGAAACAGTTTGATTTATAAACAGCACACGTATGAAAAGTACTAATCTAGTAATCTTGTACATTGCATTATGTTTTGAAACAGTGTTATAGTCTTACTGATACATCGACAGTGTTATAATTAGTGTGTCCTATAAGAACTGAATAACTGAGACTGGCTCGACCTGACAATGTAGTTAATGCTAATTAAAGTGGACCATGAAAACAGTGGACTGTTCCATCCAATTTATTAAAAGGCGAATCTCTCTGAGTATGAGTTTATGAGTGTGGGGGAATTATACATTGACATTGCCAAACAAAAACAAATCAGTCAGCACTTGGCATCTGTCTATTTTCTATTTGAAGGGTAAGTTGGACAAAAATGTTACCTCCTTAGTTTAACAAAACTCAATGAGATGCATGTGTTTAAATTTCATGTCTTCTATTGTTATCAATCCAATTAACTTAGATTATGATGACATAGAGTATAAAAACGGAGCAATATCGAGAGCAAAACATATCAATGATTGTCCAACTTACCCTTCGAATAGAAAATAGACAGATGCCAAGTGCTGACTGATTTGTTTTTGTTTGGCAATGTCAATGTATAATTCCCCCACACTCATATATATTCAAAATGAAATTTTAAAATGCTTTTGTTAAAGAGAAAATGAATTCAAAGTAAGACCACGACATAGTCGGCGCTTTATTAGTTCATTAACTTTGATTGTCATATCTTTTCCAAGGATTTACAACGCTTGAAGCTTAATAATTCATGTAAAATAATCACCCGGTCAAAATGTATTACTGTAGCAAAAAATGTATTAACGTATGATTATGTTGAACACTAACTCGAAACTCGAGTCATTCGCTCATGTGAACAAAATCATAGTATATCGAATGTAGTAGGAATATATTACTCATATGTTTGAAGAATTATAACTATTTAAATGCGGACTATGCCGCTTCTAGACGCTACGTTGTATTTGAACATTCAGATTTCATATAATGTAGTGGTTTAGGCGGTTTAAATAAATTTAGAGTCTACTTAAAATAATTAATGCTATAAAACGGAACAGGACTAAACAAAAGAGGATACGATCGATACTAATGCATGATGCAATTAAAAAAACATTGTCTAACAGCATTATACCATTATACTCATACCATCTATGATTGTCATGGAGATGCAACAAGTTTTAATGACAATTTTGGGAAATGAGTTTTTTTTTTACTATATATTCCCTCCGTTTCAAAATACTTGTCATTCTAACTTTATTTTTTTTATTCAAAATAGTTGTCATTCTCACTTTCCAATGCAAAATTTAATATTAAATACCTAGTTTAACCATGATCTACTGAAGAATACTAATAGTCAATTTGCCTTTTAAGGATATAATAGAATTTTTAATCTGTTTTATTAATCTGCGTGAAATCTCTTAAAACGACAAGTAAAAAGAAACGGAGGGAGTACTGTAGTTGAAAGCTTAATCATCATAGGTGACAATAATGATTCTTGGTTTCTTCTTTATTAATTATTATCTCATCAAACCAAAGTACGTACTATCCTCGTCTCTAAAAGAACAATTTAACACACTCCTTCAAAATTATGTCTCTTTTGGCTTATTCATTTTAAACCTCTACTCTTTATTCTCATCAGAATTTATTGGACTTTAATAATATCATAGGAAGAATCATGAATTTATACGGTAAAACCAGTCAGAAATAACTATATTGACTCATACTTATACACTCCGTTACATGTATTTTCACTTTTTCAGTGTACAGTTTTACCTCAAACAGATACATATACGCAGACGATCAGTTACCTAAATTTCCGATCAACACCAAACTACAAATGTTTAGAGACTTTCATTTTGTAGGGGGACCTCTCTCCTTTTTTTTTTCTGACGTCAACGTCTTTCTCTTTTGTAGATGTCAGAAAAGGAAACTATAGTATTAATTAATGGTTCTTGGCAAGGTTTTGATTCATATTTATCTAAATAATTGCATACAATATTTGTAGATAAATGAATGGGGAAATCAACGTAGAAAAGACCCATGTAAACAAATTCTTAAAATAATTAGCAAATTTCAAAGATTTGTAAAAACTGAGATTGTCTGTCTGCATCGGGGGAACTCCTCGAGGCCAAATTAATTTCATGTCCGTCTTTGTGTTTCCCAATTTTAGTTAAAGACTAGTCTCAAATGTTCATTTATTGAAAATATAATTAAACTCATACTAGCAAGTAGCAACAAGCATTTGCTTTGACACCAAGAGAAAACCACTTGATTGGACTGTTGTCTCGGTAAACGTATGATCTGGTTTGAGACATGATACTTGCAATCGGCAAGTGTAATTTGATCCAAATGTAAATAACGTTACAAAGTATTGTATTTAGAAAATAAATATAATTAGTTCAAATGGCATAGGATCGATCATCTGCCGGAAAACATATACTCCTAAATAACACAACCCTAAAAAACAATACGGACATCTAAATTTTCATTTCTATAACAAAATATTGTTCTTCCCAAAAAGGGGAAGCAATCAATCAAATCTGATGGTACTCCATCGTTTTGCTTTTTCCTCTACTTTTTGTTTTTTTGTTTTTCTTTGTCTTTGTCCTAAATCATTATGGAATATAAAAACAAAATCACTTTCTTCTATTTGTCATAAATTTCAGTGTTCATATTCATATCGATAAAAAAAGCAAACAAAAAGATTCGTAGACAGTTCTAGTCTCACAAGTTCGAAAACTCAAACAACAAACCATAATTAATAGGGTCTTAAAAACAATAAAAATAAAAACTCAGAACACTTCTTCTGTGTTCGTTTGTCTTTTGCCGGAAGTAAGAGAAACCATTTCATGTAAATGACAAACTCAAAAACCTTAAAATCCAATTTGTTTCACATAAATCTTTTTAAAAAATAATGTAAGAGTTCAGGTTTTTCTTTTTATTTTTATACTAAATCAAGACAAAAAGATTTTGACCTTTTTGTTTTCTTTTCCCTTTTTGTGTGGTTTCATGGTGATTTAGGGATGAAGAAACAATGGCTGCCGGACAAAACAGAACAACTGTGCCGGCGAATCTAAAGAAACAGCTCGCAGTTTCAGTTCGACGCATTCAGTGGAGTTATGCAATCTTTTGGTCTGTCTCTGCTTCTCAGTCTGGGTAAGTTTCATAATCATAATCCTTGATATTATAATCCATTTTCCCCAGCTTTTAGTTTCAAATCTTTCTTCCTCTTCCTTGTTTGATTAAGCTTTTGTCTGAAACTCTAAGTTTGAGATTTTGAAATTTATATGGATTGATATCGGAAAATCAGATAAAACTCATGGTTTAATTTCAAAATTAGTTTTTTTTCTTCTTCTTAGTGTTCCATTAGTGAAGTTATTCAAGACTAGACAGTGTTCTCTATTTCTGTCTTTATTAATAATTTTAAAAGTGAAATAATTGATTTGAAGTCGCAAACTCACAATATTTTATTGTTTTTTCTTCAAGAGTTCTTTTTCTTGAAGTTCTTCATTAGCTCAAAGACAATATTCTGTATCCTTTTCCTCATTCAATTTATTTTCTTCTGTGTTTTTGCTTTAAATCTAAAGAGTACTAGAATGGGGAGATGGATATTATAATGGAGATATCAAAACGAGAAAGACGATTCAATCGTCGGAGATCAAAACTGATCAGCTTGGTTTAAGGAGGAGCGAGCAGCTTAGAGAGCTTTACGAGTCCCTCTCCGTCGCTGAATCTTCTTCCTCCGGATCTCAGGTCACTAGACGAGCTTCCGCCGCCGCACTTTCCCCGGAAGATCTCGCCGACACAGAGTGGTACTACTTGGTCTGTATGTCTTTCGTCTTCAACATTGGTGAAGGGTAATTCCGTCTTTTTATCTATCAAGCATTGACATCCCTTGTATTTACGTGTGTCATGTTCGGATTGATCTTGTCAGCTTTAAATAAAACGACAAAATGCCCTTTTATTACATTTTGGTAGGTTTAGCCACTCGATTTTTCTGGAAGTTATTTTTTGGAATTTCTGTTTTTTTTGCAAAATATTGTTTTCACTTCGATTTTAGACATTTTTTTTGTTTTGTTTTTGATAAAAATAAAATACTAGTTTTAATTCTTACTCAATACCCTTTTTCCCTCGTGTTAGTAATCAGTTTCATTTGCAGAATGCCTGGACGAACGTTTGTGAATGGTGAACCGATTTGGCTATGCAACGCTCATACCGCGGATAGTAAAGTCTTTAGCCGCTCTCTTCTGGCAAAAGTGCGTTTCATATATATATTTTTGTTGTACTAATTACTACATATATGATATATCTAACATTTTTTTTGTGATTGAAAAATGCTAAATTGTAATCATTTTGAGTGGGTTTTGTTCTTGTTTAGAGTGCTTCGATTGAGACAGTGATTTGCTTCCCGTTTCTAGGAGGAGTCCTTGAGATCGGTACCACAGAACATGTAAGCCAAGTCACATTCCCGTTTTCTTGCCTCAAAATTTTAGAATAACTATACCAATTAATGCTAATTATGGTCAATCTTTTTTTTTTTTTTTTTTGTCTATTTCAATGATACAAAAAGAGTAAAGAGTTTTCTTGTTTTCATGTCGTAGGTGTCAGAGGACATGAATGTAATACAATGCGTGAAGACATCATTCCTTGAAGCTCCTGATCCTTACGCTACAATATTACAAACAAGATCCGATTATCACATCGACAACGTTCTTGATCAGCAACAGATTCTAGGCGACGAGATTTATGCTCCCATGTTTGCAACGGAGCCATTTCCCACGACTTCTCCGCGCAGAACTTTCGATCCGGAACACGAACAAGATCATGATTCGTTCATGGCAGAAGGAATCAATGGGGGAGCATCTCAGGTCCAAAGCTGGCAGCTCATGGATGAAGAGCTCAGTAACTGCGTTCACCAGTCACTGAATTCCAGCGATTGCGTCTCTCGAACGTTTGTTGAAGCAGCGTCTGGACGGGTTTCTTGCAGCGCAAGAAAAGGTAGGGCTCAACGGCTAGGGCAAATTCAAGAGAAACAGAGAAATGTGAAGATGTTGTCTTTTGATCCAAGAAACGACGACGTTCATTACCAAAGTGTGATTTCCACGATTTTTAAGACAAACCATCAGCTAATCCTCGGACCGCAATTTCGAAACTGTGATAAACGGTCGAGCTTCACGAGGTGGAACAAATCATCATCATCATCTTCGTCAGGAACTACCTCGGTCGCACCAGTGTCACAAGGAATGTTAAAGAAGATTCTTTTCGAGGTTCCACGAGTGCACCAGAAAGAGACGTTATTATTAAATTCTCCAGAGATCGGGGATGAAACCGCAAACCACGCGGTGTTAGAAAAGAAACGACGTGAGAAATTGAACGAACGATTCTTGATCTTGAGATCAATCATTCCTTCAATCAATAAGGTACATATAACTAATCTTTAGTATCTCAAATCCGTATCATATAAGTAACTGATATTAGGTGTAACGTTGTCAATAGATCGATAAAGTATCGATTCTTGATGATACGATTGAGTATCTTCAAGAACTCGAAAGGCGAGTTGAAGAACTAGAATCAACCGACACAGAAAACCGTGGGACAATGACGATGAAGAGGAAGAAGTCGCACGATGCAGGGGAAAGAACATCAGCTAATTGCACAAACAGTGAAACTGGAAACGGCAAGAGAGTTCAGATTGGAGAAGCCAAACCAGCAGAAACCGATAATACCGGTCTAACCGATAATTTAAGGATCAGTCCGTTTGGTAATGAGGTGGTTATTGAGCTTAGATGTGCTTGGAGAGAAGGAGTATTGCTGGAGATAATGGATGTGATTAGTGATCTCAACTTGGATTCTCATTCGGTACAATCCTCGACAGGAGATGGTTTACTCTGGTTAACAATCAATTGCAAGGTACAATCTCCAACCTAATTTTTGCTTAACCGGGAATTGGTTAATTAACAATGCTGACAAGAAATATTCTGTAATGTTGTTGGTTTCAGCACAAGGGTTCAAAAATAGCGACACCAGGAATGATCAAAGAGGCACTTCAAAAGGTTGCATGGATCTGTTGAAGACGGTTTATTTCGTCTTACTTAGCATTAAAAAGGGCCTGGTTTGGTTTTCTATTCTTGGGTATCTTTCTAACCGGGTTTTAGGAATTCATGTAAAACAAAAAGAACTTATTATTTTGCGTTTGTTAACGTAGGTGAAGAAACATTTAAAAACAAAACGAAAAAACTTTATTTTTGGTATTGATAAGATGAGAAATTATATGTTTTAGCGTTTATTTTGAAATGAATATCAAATCATAACCTCATCTTTACCATAATAGGTCAAATATAGATTTAAAAAGTCTACATTAGGGAAATTAAAATAATTATACCTCAGGATCTAGAGCCATATATATACTCAATGACAGGCAGGTCACAGACACAGAAAAAAATCCAATATACCTCTTCTTATGGAAAATATTTTCTTCAGACAAAATCATGATATCTTTCCTTTTCAACTGCGAAACCGAAAACATAAAGACAAAGACATGGGAATATCTGTAAAATGTTATATACATAGTGACTAGTGAAAGAAAAAATGGTGAAGACGGTTAGGAATTTGGCCTGAAGCTCTCTTCTCTCCGGTAAGTAATAACTCTAGTTTACATGTCTATTCTTCGATCTATGTCACTACATTTTTGCCATCTGTGACCTGTTCCAATAGTCACAACATTAGCCGAGATTAGGAATCGATTTCCGCTAGATGCATTCTCTCATTACTCCTTGTGTTCATTTTGTTTTCATGTTTCTATAATCATGTCTCTATCTCTAAGTATATATGATCCGTAGTCCTTATCAATTTATTACAACAGACTAGTGTTGTGTTTTTCTTGCAGCTGTCTGAGAAAATCGTAAAAGGGGATTGAAATCTATAACATCAGAGTGAGAAAGAAAACTTTTAAGAATGGGAGATGATCAAAGGTTTAGTGAGAAATGGGAATTCAGAAGGCAAGAGAACAACTTTGATGATTCTTCAAGCGATGATCCAGACTCAAACTCGACCCAAGACCCTATCATCCATAACCCAAATCTTGTTCTTGATTCGAATCAGCTCGATGATGGAACAAAGACGGTCACCAGAGAACAACCTGCGAAAACCACCAGGAAGAGGAGGAGCAAGAAAGATGAGAGTAGTAAAACTGAGAAGGCCAAGCAAGTAAGGAGAAGGAAACCAAAAGCTGTTTGTGCAGAGGATTCTACTAAGAAGAAAGATGAAACGACATTGGAGACGGATGATGATGATGTTGGAATGTTTATGAAGACGTTGCTCGATGATCTTACAGCTTCTAGAGAGAGTTTAATGGATTGGATGAAGACTGAACTGTGTGGAACGGATCATAATGCTGCCTCTCGGCCTCCTCCCAGGAAGAGAGCGGTTGCTGCAGTAGCAACGCAGAGACCAGTGAAGAAGAGGACAACGAAGACGAAGAAGAAGGGAGAAGAGGAGGAGAAGGAGACTGAGAAACAGAGCAAACCGGACGAGATTTGTCAAGAGATGATGAGAAAAGATAAAGAGATTGCGCAGAACAACGGTGGAGATAAAGTTCAAGAGCTTGATTACAATGCTGGACCGTTGGATGTGTTTCTCAAGAGCAGCGATCATGGCGGTTTAGGAAGAAACTACTTTCAGCAACAAGAACAAAGTCATCAAGAAGGGATTGTTGCGCAAACTGAGAAGAATGTGACAGTGACGACAAACCAGAAGAGCGTTGTTTTGGCCATCAAAGCTCCAACGTTGAGTCAGAAACAAAAGAAGATGAGAGAAGTGAAAAACAGAGCATCTATGGTGGAGAGAAGAGGATCTGAAACGCAGAAAGATGATAACTTTGCGATACCCTTTGCGCCGCCGAGTCTGTCTTCATCATCGCCATTGTTGCAGAGTTTTCCAGTTGGTCCTTCGTTGAGCTCGTTGTTTCCTCCTTCTTCAAGCCAAGTGATTACTTCTTATGCAAGTGACAACAACAACTTTCAACTGAGACAACCACCGGTTAGTAGTCAGATTCCTGATCTTTATGAACTTCAGACAGGATTCACAGGAGGAAAAGGATTTGGGAATCCTCTGTTTCACAACAACAACAACGGTTACTTCTCTGGTTTTCCGGCAGCTTTCCAGCCTAATCTGATCTCCGGCGGTTATAACTTTCCGGCACAAGTGAACCCTGCAACTACTTCACAGCAGAGTGGCAATAACAATATGTTTGGAGGTCTGAGAATGGCCGGTGGAGCCATGAGACTTTCAGAATCCCAAGTCGGAAACTGTAATAATAGCCTCTCTGATTACAGAAATAGCTCTGGTAGATAAAAAAAAAACGAATATACCAGAGACAAAGAGCAACAATTTATCTATCTGCTCCTCAACTTTTGAGCAGAGAGAAAAAACAGAATGAAACACCGAATCTTCTTCAAATAAAAAATGTCTTTTACTGGATCATGATCTTATTGTTATGCAGGAAAATTAAAGAAGATGAAACAAAAGACTTGATTATTCATGAGTCTAAGATTTTGGTTTCTCCGCTGCCTCCTGAGCATCAACAAGCGTGGGGTCTCCTCTGGCTTCAAAGAAATCGTTTGGCGTAATCAAGCGTGGGGTCTCCACTGGCTTCAAAAACGTCTTCTTTCTTCTGACAGTTTGAGATCTCACCAAGCCGGACGGTTTGAGATTGCTTGGCGTCACCAAGCATGGGCAAGACCCATAAAGAAGGTCTAAATAAGCTTTACGATTAGCTTGAGCAGCTTGGCGATCAGAAATTTCGAGATACTTTCGCATGATTGCTTCAAGCTCATTCTTGTACTTGGATACACTAGGAGACGATGCCATGACGATGAAATGCACAAAACCCTAGACGGAGAGCACAATTCAGGCATCAACAACTGTAACACCTAAATATTTGCAAATATGGGCCCCCAAAAAACTAATTTCTCTTTTTTTTGCTCATTAGATCGACACTCCACGACTAGGACTTTGCCAAACCTCGATACACTGTTGATCCTTTCGGCTCACAAACATTCTGTTTCCTCCAAACACCAATCCAGTCACCTTCTTCTCTCCCTCACCACCCAACCTATTCTTCCTAAACACCCTCTCTTCCGATACATCCCTGCTCGCATTCCCCACCAATCCCGTGATCACTTCTGACCAAAGCTCGATCCCACTTCCTTTACTACAGAAAACATGATTCCCATAGCTCTCTATCTTACACCCAACTCCTTTCCTCTCATTCCCATAGCTTCTCTTCTTCTCCTCTTCCCCAAGACAAACCCATTCATCATCTTTCGCTCCTAAACTCCTCAAATCCGTGTAGAAAACTTCCCCTGAACTCACACCGACCTTGAACACCGCCGAGAGATTATCCGAGACTGTAACATCGGAGAAACAATCTTGCTTCTCCTTCATCTCCCAAACCATGTTCCTTGACCTAACATCCCAAAACCTGACGTGGCCATTCACACCTGACGGACTACTATGAGAGCCTGAGACCATCAACAGGTTACAGCTCTCAATCCATCTCAGCTTAGTCGATGGGATCGCCGAATCAATGTCAGCAGAACCACCGTAGATCTCGCAACGATCGATCTCTGACACAGGCAGCAAGGTGGAGAGGTCATACACCATTATCGAATTCGAATTCCTTCTGCTGGATTCAAAGCTGGTGAATAGGAACTCAGAGGAAGCGCCTATGGCTTGAACAGTGGAGCTGCTGGTCAAATTTTCCCAATTCAGAGTCGTGCGAACGAATCCGTCGTTTCCGAGATCGATGATTTGCAAACCTGGGAAATCGGTGGCTCCGGCGGCTAAAACTCCCGGAGAGATTTCCAGGAGGGAATCCACGGCGGGGAAACTCGTCAGCACCGTCGATTTCCGCCGCAACGACCAGTCGAAGGATGTGATTTTGCTCCCGTGCGCCACGTGGAGGCCTCCGCCGTTAGCCGTCGGCGCGATCGTCGACGGAGAGTCTCGGCCGCTCAACGGGAGTAGGCGAGATTTGCGGAGATCGAACGCCTCGAACTGCGACGGATTCGAGAGGGAATCGATCAGGAAAGACTCGATTCCGTAGTGTTTGGATTCCTCGATGAGATCCCGAACATCGAATTCGCGTGATCTCGCGGGTAGATTCCCCGTACGGAGTATGTAGAGTAGGACGGAGAACAAACCGGGATCTCGATCGACGAAACGAGTTGACTCAGTAGCGAGACGGGAGAAAAGAGAATCGGATCCAGCTTGGGTTAAGGTTTGCTTCGTCGTCTGGAAGACTCGACCTCCAACATTGATGGAGACAACATTCGATTCATGAGCGATGGCCGGAAAATTCATCGGAGGATAATCACAAAACCTTCGGTTTCTTTTCTGTTTTTTTTTTTTTTGCAGAGTATCGAGAGAGAGAGTTAAAAGAAACACATGGCAGATTTTTCTCAGTCTTTATTCAGTTGACATACTAATCAAGCATCATTATTGGTGTCTTTAATTTAATTAACCAGCATTTCTTACACTGTTTACTCAAAATATTCGAAGTCTTTCCTTAGTTTACTGGTCGATTTTGATTTCGATTACTGAAGTGTGTTCTCTTGCAAATTGGTGTTCCAATTATACTGATAAAGATACAGAAGTATATTCTCTCTCTCTCGTTTCCTCTGTTTCTTTTCATTTTCGTCTCTTGAGAATACACACAAGACAAGTTCGCCCTAATTTCAATCTCTCTCAGGCACAACCTCCAAGACAGCCGCCGACCTCGCGCAGCTCCGATTTCGGAACGACTCTCCTTCACCGGAGTTTCTTTCATGAAATTGGAGCTTCGCTCCCTCTTTCCCGGGTTTCCCCTTCGTAACCCGATGTCTTTTTTACTCTTTCCGCTGTTAAGTCTTTCGTCGATGAGGCTTCTCCTCTGCATCTCGCTTATCCTCTCCATCTCGCTTCTCCGATGCGCATCTCCTTCTCCGGTGGCTGTTTCGAGGAGACACGTAGAGTTTTTGAGGACGAAGCTCTCGTCGTCACTCTCTTTCATATCACCGGAGGAGACAGTTCGTTGCCGGATCCGCCTTCCGCATCATCTCACGCATCCGTTGCCGGAACCACCAGATCTACAATTGTTCTCCGCCCTTTCTCCAACCGACTTCGCCTTTCCGAATGTCCTCGGCGTTGCTGCCCGGGATCTCTGCTCCGGAGTGATTTCCGGTGACGATCTGTTCCGGTGTGGTGTCTCCGATGGTCCATCGTGGAACACCGGCGTTCACTCTCGCTCCCCTCCAAACCACAATTCCTTCCAATCTCCAAGGCCCACTGTGTTTATTGGATGGGCTTGGCCCAATATGCCCTATTTGGGTAGGCTTCTTTCAACTTGTTTTAAACCTGGCCCAATAGTTTTTGTGGCTTATCTAGACAGATTGGTCTCATCGCTTCTCCGAAGCTGCAATGCCGGAATGTTTTCAACTCCTCATGTGTGGGAGATGTTTAATATTTCACCCTCCTCCGTTGGCATGGAGAGATCGTTTCCACCCTCCTCCTTTCACAAGGAGAGAAGTTTTCCACATCCTTCCTTCTCCATGAGAAGTGGACTCTTCTCGGTTTCAAGACTGAGTAAGTTTTACAACATTCTCACCGTTTTGTCATCTTATGTAATGGTTTGTCGTGGATCTAAAGGTGCAACTGGTTTCGCTTCGTCGTATTCCGGAGGTAGAAGTTGGTTTTCAACGTCAAAGTCACATTCAATTGTGTCTAGACTACATCAATCCGGCTTGGCCGTGATTTCTCTTCCGACGCATTTGAGCTTTGCTTATAATCTGCTGTCATATAAAGATCTATCTATCTTATGCTTTAATGTTTTTACTTGTTATGGTAGTTTTCAAAGAGGATGGTTCATTCTCTCTAAGTTATGTAACACCCAAGCTTAATTAATGGAATTAAGTGTTTGAACAAAAAAAAAAGATACAGAAGTATGAAATTTTCAGTACAATGTCGAGCAAAAGTTTACAGTTTAATTATGAAACATATGCTCTGTGCTCTAGTTCGAGCCATCGTGTCCACTTCCAAGGAGGAAAATCTCTCACCACATGACAGATTCTTCTCTCCTGGAAACACTGGATCGCATACATGAAATTCACCATTTGAGTCGGATGATTGGGATCGAAGAAGAGATACATCTCCGGTAACTTACACGGAATTGAACGCGGCAAGCAAGTCGGGAACTTGCCTTGAACATAAACCATAGGACAACATGGGCTTGTCGTGTTTAGTAGTTTTGAACTAAATTGATTGCTCGAAGGTCCACGAAGTCCCAACATGAAGTTGAAGTAGTCGGAGTATACAAAGAAAGTGTTGGAGAGTTTGTGACGACGCATGTCTGACAAGCTTGCTCTAAGCTTGACATTGTAAATGGTGACCGCACGGTTTATTTTTTCGTCGCAGCTACCACGTGGTACCGTTTTATCAATCCTACTTGGGTAACAACCTACAGGTTTTATGTTGTTGATGAAGAACTTCCTTGCTCCTAACTTATGCAGTCTCTACAACAAATTAAGAATACACATTATTTAGTAAAGTAAATCTTGATTCACACTAAGAAAATCTTGGAATTATAGAAATGTTCAATCCCCGATAGTTTTGGTTTCGTTTCAGATTTTTAAATTTTTATATGAGATTTCAACTTACCAATATGGTTTGTTATATAAGTAACAATATCAATAATATTATGTTTTTCCTTCTTTTTACGGATCGATTTCGATTTTGTTTTGTTTTTCCTGAATGAAAAACATCAAGCAAGTTTACGGCAGACTCATTTCAATTTTTTTACATTGGTTTATTTGATATATATGGTTCAGATAGGGTTTGATTTAGTTTATATGAAATAAAGATTTGTCATCATAGCTAAAACTAAATATTGTAGTGGTGGGTGGGGGTGGGTGTAAGAGTGAATACACTAAAATAATTCAAAAGTTTCAAATCTTAAATATTATTAAACCTAAAGAATTCGCTTAGAAATTATGATTGCATAACATCCCAAGATTTTGTTTACCTGAATTTGTAGCCAGTACTCGTTAAGAAGCTTTTCTGCAAATGAGTTTGCATCGGTTGATGACTCGTCATAGGTGAAACTGTAATCATTAGAACCAATCGCAATCAGAAACAACGATTCAGCCAAATGGTTATTGAGCTCTGACTGAGTCTTGAAGTTTTGCTTTAGATTCTTCTTGATTGTTTGATTGAAAAGATCGACTTGATCACCCATCGAGAGACATCCTCCCTGTTCGTACAAAGATTTATATATAAAAAGGACTTTTGATAGATTTTATCGAAACTGAAATTGTAAAGATCATTTTTGTTAAGATATTGAAACTTACTGCTTTCTGTTTTCCTGTGTCAGGAAAAACTCCACAACCACCGGAAGCATAGTTTATACCAGTTGAGATATTGTTCTTTTGTTTTTCAGATAATCCCATATAAGCAGGAACCAAAGGAAGCTCGTAATAAATAGCTGAAAAAACATAATAAACATGGTTAAAAGAAGAAACATTTCCAATCAATTAAAGTGTAAGCAGTTTATCTTAAGTTGAGTAGTAACATTTTTAAGAAATTGTCATTTGAGTAATTTTTTTCACTATATCTTTTAATTCACATTTCATTGAATATTATAAAATTACCAACCAATATAATCGGCAATGGTTTTGCCATCGCTAAAACGGCCGGTTGGTATGCCTCCTTCAAATTTAAAACCATATGGTGTAAAATTCGCTTTGAGTAAAGCCGGAAGATAATTGTTATTTCCTGAATCAACCAATGAATCTCCAATAACATACAAAGCCGGAAAATTCCCGCCAAAATGCACTGCCTCTTCTTTGAGTCTTTTTGTTGAGTTAATGGTGGAAACATTGAGAAAGCAGAAGAGGAGCACAAGAAGGTCTGGCTTTAGTGAAGAAGGCAAACCCATTTCTAAAGCAAAGATATTGTGAAAACCAAAAAGAAGATGAGATATGGTTCACGACTTAACGGAGCTACAATAACAATAATTAGCAATATACATTAGCTTCCCATCTACTTCCAGCCGTATTGTTTAAGCTTAATCTTAAAGAAACTATGGGAAATTTATGAACGATGCACGTCCAAAAGGATCAGTAAGATTACCTTCTAGAGCTTTCCCTTCTTCTCTAACTCCATTTGTTTTGTATGCTATGTCCACTTCTCTTAAGCAACTTATATATATGATCTAAATCCTTGTACCTACCCTTTATATTAATGCATTTCAATAGAATCGCGCAAGTGTTAGTGTGTGGTGAATCTGGTGATTAATGGACCTGGCCCTTTATTTATTTTCCATTGCCTTATCTGGCAAGTGTTTGTTGCTTTGTGTGTGGTGATTAATGAACCTGACCCTAGACCCATTTATTATCTCGCAAGTGTGTGTGTGTGGGGATTTCTTATCCCATTTTTTATCCTAACCAATGGTTTACAAGAACCAGCCTAATAGACTAACCTACTTAACCAGATGAATAAACCATATACCAATATTATAAGTGACTAAACCACCATATATATAGGTCTATTTTTGTATACATTACATGGAAACAAATATGATCCAGCATGTTGGTGACATCTCCATCACTTCCAAGATCTTTATACGTTGACGTTTGCCTCAAAATATAGAAAAGGAGAGAACATGTCGACTTTCTTGATAGGATGATGTGCACCTCGTCAACGCCAGCGTCAATCCGCATTGCCGTTGATAGGATGATGCGTGACCCAAAAAAAAAAAAAGAAGATGATGCGTGACCGGCTTCTGTCCTTGCCTTCGTCCAGCTTCAGATCTCCTTCCCTGCTAGAGACTTATTTCTCATTGTGTTAAGAAGCTCTGTTTGTTGCTGGCGCTTGTTTTTTTCTTTTTATTTCTGCTGTAATAAGTTGCTCTCGCAACAGAAACTCTGTAATTTGGAAAACTGGTATAAATCTTCACATTTGCACCAAAAAAAAAAAAAAAAACAAAACATGTGGACTTTCTTTTGATTCGAACTTAAAAGAAGATGTACGTTTATTAAAAGGGAAGATAATAAATAAATTGCCAAGAAAAACGGTCTCTCTTTTTTTGAACAAACACTTTCATTAAATAAAAGTTCTTACATGTTACATCACATCACAACAAAACAGGGGAGAAATCTCGAAGGAAAAAAGGTCTAAATTCAGACAGACATTTTGTTGTCTGAAAAACATATACCGATTTAATATAAACGGTTTAAACCGGTAAGAGCCACTTATTTTTATTCGAATTCGAATTCCTAATGAATCACCTTATTCAAGCAAAAAAAAAAAGAAACACATGACAGATTTTTGTCAATCTTTATTCAGTTGGCATACTAATGAAGCTCAATCTCTCACCACATGACATATTTTTCTCTCCTGGAAACACTGGATCGCATACATGAAATTCGCCATTTGAGTCGGATGAAAGGGATCGAAGAAGAGATACGTCTCTGGTAACTTACACGGAACTGAACGTGGCATGCAAGTCGGGATTGAGCCTTTAAAATAAATAGGACAACATGGGCTTGTTGTGTTCACTAGATTCGAACTAACATGATTGCTCGAAGGTCCACGAAGTCCCAACATGAAGTTGAAGTAGTCCGAGTATATAAAGGAAGTGTTGGAGAGTTTTTGACGACGCGTATTATCTGACAAGCTTTCCCTAAGCTTGACATTGTAAACGCTGATCGCACGATTTATTTTTTCGTTGCAGCTTCCACGTGGTACCGTGTTTGCAATCATATTTGGGTAACAACCTAGAGGTTTTATGTTGTTGATGAAGAACTTCCTTGCTCCTAACTTATGCAGTCTCTACAACAAAGAATACACATTATTTAGTAAAATAAATCTTGATTCACACTAAGAAAATCTTGGAATTATAGAAATGTTCAATCCACAATAGTTTTGGTTTAGCTTCAGATTTTTTTAATTTGTATATGAGATTTCGACTTACCAATATGAAATCGATAAATATCGGTTTGATATGGTTTGTTTTATAAGTAACAATATCAATTTTTTTTTTGAACAACAAAAGCCTTTCATTCATTAAACGTTTCCAACTGTTACAACTTGTGGGTCCCGCTGAGAAATTAAGTTCACAAATCTAATCTTAGCGTCTTTTGCTATCGAATACGCTAGAGAATTTTGAGATCTGGGGATATAGCTGAAATGGATCGAATCAAACATGGTTGCAAGAGCGTGGATGTCAAAGAGAATTCCATAAATCTCTATGATTTGCTCTTGCGAGGAAATTGCTCTGATGAGTCCGAGAGCGTCTGATTTGAGATGGATTTTTGTGAATCCAGTCTCTAGTGCATGGAGGAGCGCCGATCTGATCGAAAGGGCTTCGGCCATGAGCGATGAGGTGACAAAGCGTTCTGCTTCTTTTCCTTTCAAGGTGGTGTCGCCGGCGTCGTTTGTGAAGATCCATCCTAGGCCTCCAATTCCGCTTTTGTCGCACCAAGCTCCATCGGTGAAGCAGGAGACGGTATTTGGTGGGGTCCCGGTTCCTGTTGGTGGTTTGAAGCCAGTCGGTGTCTTCTGGGGTGTCAATTGAGCCTGTTGCCACTCGCGTGCTTCTACAGTAGCTTTGGTCATCGTCTCCCTGGGGGAGAAGGTTCTGTCTTCAAAGATCAGTTGGTTTCTGGCTTTCCATATGGCCCATACGATCCAGGGGAAGAGAGGTCCGGCTCCGGCTCGTGTTGGGGGAAGAGCAAGCCATGCCTTTGAGTCTTTTAGGGTTAAGGCGAATGTTTGGAAAAGGTTCGGGTTGATTGTCGTAGACAGGGGAGCTAAACTCCAAACTTCTTTGGCGTACTTGCAATGGAAGAAGAGATGCTCTGTCGTTTCCAGATCTCCACAGTGGGTACAGCAGGCATTCTCAAGGATACCTCGGTTGAGAAGGTTTTCTCCTGAAGGTAAAGCTTCTTGGACCACTTTCCATAAGAAAACCTTCAATTTAGGTGATGTTTTCGCTTGCCAGATGTCTAAGTTCCAATTCACTTGATGGGGGTTTTGGTTTAGGTGGGGATCAGTCGTCTGCTCCAGAGCGACATGATAGCCTGTTTTGACTGAGTACTCTCCTGATCTAGTTGGGAGCCAGATAAAGGAATCGGAGGCACCTTTTCGGCTTGGTCGAAGCGCTTGGATCTCGATCCCGTGAGCGGGTAAGATTTTTGCTATCTTCTCTCTGTTCCAGTCTCCTGTCTGCTCGGTTATTAGGTCTGAGACTTTTAGGTTCTTATCTGGCAGGTTAGGTGGTCCTATTGGTTTGGTTGGCTTCTTCAGGGATAACCAAGGATCATTCCAAATGGAGGTTGTTCGTCCGTCATCTATAGCTCGTCCTAATTGAGATTTGAGAAGATCTCTTCCAATTAGTATCCCTCTCCATCCATGCGAGGTGGAGGAATTTATGGGGACATTCAGGAAATCTTGGTACTTGCAGTACTTGCCGATCAAGACTCTACTAAGGAGGCAAGATGGGTTTGTGAGGAGTCTCCAACTTAACTTTGCCAAGAGCGCATCATTGAAGCACTGTACTTCCCGGAAGCCTAGTCCTCCATGTTTCTTTGCTCGGGTAAGTTTACTCCACGATAGCCAGCACATTTTCTTCGTTCCCAATGTTGTGTCCCACCAGAATCGTGTGAAGGCTGATTGGATGCGCTTGCAGAGTCCTGCAGGTAGTTTAAAGCATGACATGGCATAGGTGGGTATTGCAGATAGGACGGATTTGATCATCGTCATCTTTCCGGCGTTGGATAGGAACCTTGATGAGTATTTGATCGATCTTTGGCGTATGCGGTCTACAATCAAGGTAAATAGGTCTTTTTTCTTTCTTCCAAAGCTCTCTGGTAGACCTAAGTATTTCCCTTGACCCCCTTCTTTTTCTATGCCTAGTGTCTGCTTTACTCGAGCTCGGATCTCTGGTTGTGTCTTCTTTGAGAAGGTGATGGATGATTTGGGGAGGCTTACCTGTTGTCCCGAAGCATCTTCATATTCTTTGAGGATGGTGTGGAGCGTTTCACAGCTTCTCTGGTTTGTTCTGGTGAAGAACATGGTATCATCCGCGAATAGTAAGTGGTTTATTTTGGGGCTTTGTCTTGATACGCTTATTCCTGGGAGTGATCCATCTGATTGAGCTTTTTTGCATAGCCCCGATAGGACTTCTCCACACAAGATGAAGATAAAGGGAGAGAGAGGGTCGCCTTGTCGTATTCCACGTTGAGGGATGACTCGTCCTTGAGCTGCTCCGTTAACCAGGAAAGCGTAAGAGACCGTGGATATGCATTGAAATATCCAGTTGATCCATTTGGCGTGGAATCCCATTCTCTCCATTACGGCCACGATAAAGCTCCATTCAAGTCTATCGTATGCTTTGGTCATATCCGTCTTGACTGCCATCGAACAATGTATCGTGGCTCCGGAATTCTTGAGGTAATGGAGATTCTCGTGTGTAATTAGGACATTGTCCAATATAGCTCTTTGAGGCACAAAAGCTGTTTGATTCTCGGATATGATAGAAGGGAGAAGAGGTTGGAGTCGTCTGGTTAGGATTTTAGAGATGACTTTGTAATAGACGTTGCATAAAGCAATTGGCCTATACTCCGCTACTGACTTGGGGCTTAGGATTTTTGGTATTAGTCGAATATAGGTTGAGTTGATGGAATTTGGGAAACTTCCTTGTTCGAAGATCTCATGTACTTCCTCGATGATCTTTGGGCCCATCACTAACCAATTTGTTTGAAAAAACCCTGCAGAGAAGCCGTCTGGACCAGGGGCCTTATCTGGATTGATTGAGAACATAGCTGCTTTGATCTCTATGGATGTAGGTTGAGCGGTCAGGGCTTCGTTCATCTCTTGTGTAATGCATGGTTCCAGGGCTTTTTCCACAGTTTCGACGCACTGGGGGGATCTAGAAATGAAGAGGTCTTGAAAGTAAGAGCTTATCACTTTTATTATTTTGTCTTCCTCATATACAACAACGCCATTACTGTCCTCTATAATCGCTAGCTTGTTAATTGCAGTTCTTCCTCTTGTTATGGCATGAAAGTAGCCTGAGTTCTTATCTCCAAGGCTTAGCCAAAGGGTTCTGCTTCTTTGCCTCCAATACATTTCCTCCTTTTGGTAAGCTGCCTTCAGGTTTTGGTTTATTTCCACTAGTCTGAGATGATTTGGGATCGAAGATGCCATTGCTAGCTCAAGGTTTGCTTTCTCTCTTTTTATGACTTCCTGGGAGTTGATGTGATGCTCCAGGTTCCACTTTGAGATGGCCTTCCTACAGTTTGTGATTCTCTGCATCACTGGCGCCGTCTCAGATAAGTTCCAAGCCGTTGTCACTATCTCCGTAATTTCTTGGTTATCCTTCATACTTCTATCATACCGGAAGATGCCTTTCTTCTTTTTCAGGTGCGGTTCTAGTATTGAGAGGATAGGTCTATGATCAGATCCCTCAAACTCCAAGTAGTAGCTTCTACTTGATGGGTAGTTCTCAGCCCAGAGGCCATTTGACAAAGCTCTATCTAACCGGCAATGTACGAGATGGGTTTCGCGTACTCCACGCCATGATAGATAGTTTCCGGAGTGTGGTAGATCATAAAGTTCGTTTTGTGATATGAATGCCCTGAACTCTCCGAAGGTACCTTCCGCTCTCTGGGGTCCTCCTGTCTTCTCACAGCGGTCTAAGATATCATTGAAATCCCCCGTAAGGAACCAAGGCACATCTCTTCCCAGGTGCTTACTTGTTATCTCTTCCCATATTGCTTTTCTCTTTGTATGGTTTGGTTCTCCATAAACAAATGAAGTGAGAAAAGTCTTCCCTTTATAGGTAATCGAGGCTTCGATAAATTTGTCGCAGGATGAGCTAATACTCAGGGTAATATGTGATTTCCAGTAGAGGGCAAGACCCCCTCCTCCGGGGCTATGTGGTGGGACCAGAAACCGGGAGCTAAACTCCACTTGAGGTAAATGTTTCATGATGAACTCTTCGTTGTTCTTGGTTTCTGTGAGGAATACGATGTATGGAGTATGTTTAACTTGTATCTCCTTCAGACGGTGCACTGTTGTGGGATTCCCCAACCCACAACAGTTCCAGCTCAAAAACGCTAAGGAAGAGGATTTTGCGGATCGTGAAAATCCGCTCCATCCTTTAGTTTTACCGGGACGTTTCTTGCTCGCGGTGGAAGTCCTTCTGAAAGCCGGCTTTGCTCTCCTCCATTTCTTCCTTCCACCCTTTGTTGTCGTTGGTTAGGGTGGTCAGTTACCTCTCCTCTTGCTTGGTTTTGAGTTTGAATTTGGAGTTGGAGGGTGCTTATGTTATGAATAACTCTCGAAAACGGGGAGATTCGTAGGAGGGGGGATTTCATCTGGGTTTTTGTTTTTCTTTTGCTAGGTCCCGCTGAAGAGGTTTGCTGGTTTCTCTTGGAGGTGGTTGCCTTGGTTGGTGGTCTTCCTCTGCGTTTCTTCTGATGCCCGAGGATTAGTTCTCGTTCTGGTTCCTCAGGTAGAGTCGCCGGTATCTCTTGGGATTCCAGTTGTCTCCTGGTAGATGTGAGGTTTTGAAGGGGATCAGTTGGTGGACTCTCAGAGGGGTTTTGTGATTGGTGGGGTTGGTTAGATGGCGCATTGTACAGGTATGCCGCTGTTTCTTCCCTCATTCCAAAAACCTCACTCTCTAGGACTCTCTGTCTCCTCGCTGCACTTTCGATTGGATCCCCGCAGTTTACGTACCTAACATCCACTTCTTGTAGATCATGCAGGATCTCCTCTTCCGTTTGGTTCCTCACTGGGGTTATGGGGAAGTCGTTCCTGTCAAGGTTCCGACTTATCGGGGTTCGGTGGCGTGGTTGTGCTGCAAAGTTGTCCTCTGAGTTCTCACCTCGCTGGTTTGATTTTTCCTGCCAGATTTGGTTGGGGGATTGTCTTCTCGGATAGTGAGTTTGGTTCCTTTGCCAGAACGGAGGAGATCGTACTGAATGGGATTGGTAAGATCTGGCCACTTCGCGAGTCCGGGTTGAGTTTGGAGGGGGGTAAGGTCTTCTTGCAGATGATAGCGGTGGAGATTTTCTGTTCCCTCGTCTGGCGTGGTGGTCCGGGATGATATCTTCTCTTCCTAGTTTCCTCGAGGTAAACTCTCCGTTGCTATCTTCCTCTCTTCGTCGGTTAAGGGTGGGGGATCTAGGGTTTGGAGTAGTGAAGTAAGGGGGTTTTAGGTGGTTGGCTTGTTCATTAGTTGGGATTCTCTCCGGGTTTCTGGGGTGGTGGCGTCGTGGTGCTGTTGGGCATTGCTCTACTTCGTGCGTTAGCTTGAAGCAATGTGAACAGTGTTTATCAAGTTTGTGGTAGTCCAAAGTCACCTGGGCCTCACTTCCATCTTCGAAATCCACTGTTGCTTCCTTGGTCAGTGGTTTAAGACCATCAATCTCCACCTTTATTTTTGCTGCTTCTTCCGTGATTTCGAAGGAGATGAGCTCTCCAATCTCCTGACCGATACTCGTTAAGAGTTCTTATCTCCAGTAGTGGAGAGGGAGTCCTTTTAGGGTTATCCAGAAAGGGATCTGGGACGGGAAGGTGGGAGAAATGATGGGTTCCCAGCGTTGGAGGATGACCATCCACCTCGAGTACTGGTAAGGTCTGTTGTCTAGGACTTTCTTCAGGTCGTCTTCATAGTCGAAACGGAATTGGAAGCATCTGTTTCCCAATTCCGAGCCCCTAGCTAGGCCCCTGAGTTCCCATTTGTTTGAAAAATAGGGTAACATGCTCCGGAGGCGCTGTTCTCGTGGGTTGGTAAGGCGTCCTATGAGCGTAAGGGCGTTTTTCCTGACTAACTCCGAGGTATCAAGACGAGGAGCTCGTATACAAACGCCCGGATTTGTGGGTTCAGGTTCAGCTATCCCTTTGCCTTTTTCTGAGTAGGTAAATCTTCGAGCCATGATTGCAGGTGAGATCAAACGGTGGCTGGAGCGGTTTGTTTTCGTTGAGAGGCGGTGAAGAGCTTCAGTTTCACGGGTTCAGAGGTCTTACCGGCGAGGAGGCGGACCCTCCGACTCTAAGTCGGGGGTGGAACCCGGGTGCGCAATGCCAAAGAACTAGGTATTTTGAAAAACTTTCTAGTTTGGGAAAGAGACTGCTGGATAAAGAGAAGTTCTTCAGGAAGTCAACTTGCTATGGACCGATCTCGGGAGTGGTGCCTGGAAGAAGAAGAGGAAGAAGCTCGAGATCTGAATGATGACAGATGAAGACGATGATTGAATCGCACACTTAGTACCACACTCTCTTAAGTAACAATAATATTATGTATTTCATTCTTTCTACGGATCGATTTCGATTTCGTTTTGTTTTTCCTAAACGAAAAACATCAACAAGTTTCCGGCAGACTCATTTCAATTTTTGCATTGGTTTATTTGATATATATGGTTCAGATAGGGTGTGATTTAGTTTATATGAATTAAAGATTTGTCATCATAGCTAGAACTAAATATTGTAGTGGTGGGTGGGGGTGGGTGTAAGAAGAGTGCATACACTAAAATAATTCAAAATTTTCAAATCTTAAATATTATTAAACCTAGAGAATTCGTTTAGAAATTATGATTGTATAACATCCCAAGATTTTGTTTACCTGAATTTGTAGCCAGTACTCGTTAAGAAGCTTTTCTGCAAATGAGTTCGCATTGGTTGATGACTCGTTATAGGTGAAACCGTAATCATTAGTACCAATAGCAATCAGAAACAACGAATCAGCCAAATGGTTATTGAGCTTTGACTGAGTTTTGAAGTTTTGCTTTAGATTCTTTTTGATTGTTTGATTGAAAAGATCGACTTGAACACCCATTGAGAGACATGGTCCCTGTCCGTACAAAGATTCATATATAAAAAAAACTTTTGATAGATTTTATCGAAACTGAAATTGGTAAGATCATTTTTGTTAGAATATTGAAACTTACTGCTTGCTGTTGTCCTGTGTTAGGATAAACCCCACAACCACCGGAAGCATAGTTTATACCAGTTGAGATAATGTTCTTTTGTTTTTCAGATAATCCCATATAAACAGGAACCAAAGGAAGCTCATAATAAATAGCTGAAAAACATAACAAACATGGTTAAAACAAGGAAAATTTCCAATCATTTAAATTGTAAGCAGTTTATCTTAAGTTGAGTAGTAACATCAGAAATTGTCATTCGAGTAATTTTTTCCACTTTTTCTTTTAGTTCTTTTTTCATGAATATTATAAAAGTACCAACCAATATAATCGGCAATAGTTTTGCCATCGCTAAAACGGCCGGTTGGTTTGCCTCCTTCAAAGTTAAAACCATAAGGTGTAAAATTCGCTTTGAGTCTCGCCGGAAGATAATTGTTGTTTCCTGAATCAACCAATGAATCTCCAATAACATACAAAGCCGGAAAATTCCCGCCAAAAAACACTGCCTCTTCTTTTAATTGTTTTGTTGAGTTAACGGTGGAAACATTGAGAAAGCAGAAGAGGAGCACAAGAAGGTACGGCTTTAGTGAAGAAGGCAAACCCATTTCTAATTTTTCCTTTTTTTCCCGGTTCAGAAAAAGAAACAAGTATTAACCCTGCAAGTTGAAAATCACGACTAGGAAAAGTTAAATATAATCGATTAAGAAAGCATATTACAGCTTTCACACATACTTAAAAATTAAGAAAAATTATACTCAGTCGAGATTTACCCTCTAGAGCTTTAACTTCTTCTTTAACTCCAATTGTTTTGTATGCCATGTCTACTTCTCTTAAGCAACTTATATATATATGATCTAAATAAGCATATCCTTGTACCTTTATTTTAATGCATTTCAATAGAATCTCGCACGTGTTTGTGCGTGGTGATTAGTGAACCTGACCATAGATTTCCTACCCCATTTCTTATCTCGCAAGTGTTTGTGTGTGGTGATTAATGAATAATGAACCTGACCCTAGATTTCCTACCCCATTTCTTATCTCGCAACTGTTTGTTACTTTGTACTTTGTGTGTGGTAATTTTTTTATTGGCGGCACTTTGTGTGTGGTGATTTCTTGTCACAGTTTTTATCCTAACCAATGGTTTACAAGAACCAGCCTAATAGACTAAACTACTTAACCAGATGATAAACCATACAAATATTAAGTGACTACCATATATATGTCTATTTTTGTATACATTACAGGGAAATTACAAATATGATGCAGCATGGTGGTGACATCGCCATCACTTTCAAGATCTTTATACGTTGACGTTTGCCTCAAAATATAGAAAAAGAGTTGACATGTGGAATTTCTTTTGATTCAAACTTAAAGAAGATGTACGTTTATTAAAAGGGAAGATAATAAATAAATTGTCAAGAAAAACGGTCTCTCTTTTTTTGAACACACACTTTCATTAAATAAATGTTCTTACATTACATCAACAACAAAGCAGGGGAGAAATCCCGAAGAGAAAAACAGTCTAAATTCAGACAGACATTTTGTTGTCTGAAAAACATACCGATTTAATATAAACGGTTTAAACCGGTAAGAGCCACTTATTTTTATTCGAATTCCTAATGAATCAACTTATTCAAGCGAAAAAAAGGGAAACACATGACAGATTTTTTGTCAATCTTTAATCAGTTGGCATACTAATGAAGCTCAACCTCTCACCACATGACAGATTTTCCTCTCCTGGAAACACTGGATCGCATACATGAAATTCGCCATTTGAGTCGGATGAAAGGGATCGAAGAAGAGATACGTCTCCGCTGCCTTGCACGGAACTGAACGTGGAACGCAAGTCGGGATTGAGCCTTTATAATAAAATATAGGACAACAGGGGCTTGTCGTGTTCACTAGATTCGAACTAACATGATTGCTCGAAGGTCCACGAAGTCCCAACATGAAGTTGAAGTAGTCCGAGTATATAAAGGAAGTGTTGGAGAGTTTTTGACGACGCGTATTATCTGACAAGCTTTCCCTAAGCTTGACATTGTAAATGCTGATCGCACGATTTATTTTTTCGTTGCAGCTTCCACGTGGTACCGTGTTTGCAATCATATTTGGGTAACAACCTAGAGGTTTTATGTTGTTGATGAAGAACTTCCTTGCTCCTAACTCATGCATTCTCTACAACAAAGAATACACATTATTTAGTAAAATAAATCTTGATTAACACTAAAAAAATCAAATGTATGAATAAGAATTTTTGTTTCCCCTTCTTTCTACGGTTTGGTTTCGATTTAGTTTCGTTTTCCTAAATGAAAAATATCAAACAATTTTCGGCATACACATTTCAGTTTTTGAGTTGGTTTATTTGTATAATATATGGTTAGATAGGGTTTGATTCGGGTTATCTGAAATAAAGATCCATCATACCTAACACTAAATAATGTACGTTGGGGCAAGTAAGAGTGAATGCTCTAAAATAATTCAAAATTTTCAAATCTTAAAGATTATTAAACCTAAAGAGCTCATTTAGAATCTATAATTGTATAACACCCCAAGATTTTGCTTACCTGAATTTGTAGCCAGAACTCGTTAAGAAGCTTGTCTGCGAATGAGTTCGCGTCGGTAGACTCGTTATAGCCGGAGCCGGAGCAAGAGTAATCGTTAACACCAATCGCAGTCATAAACAACGATTCAGCCAAATGGTTATTGAGCTCTGACTGAATTTTGAATTTTTGCTTTAGATTCTTCTCGATTGTTTGATTGAATAGATCGACTTGAATACTCATCGAAAGACATTTTCCCTGTTCATACAAAGAATCAAAATAAAATTCAAAACTCCATAGATTTTATTGAAATCTAAACTGTAAATATATTTTTGTTAGAATATTGAAACTTACCACTTGCTTTCCTGTGTCAGGAAAAATCCCACAACTAGCAGAAGCATAGTTGATACCAGTTGAAATATTATTCTTTTGTTGTTCAGATAGTCCCATGTAAGCAGGAACCAAAGGAAGCCCATAATAAATAGCTGAAAACATAACATAGGTGGTTATAAAAAAATTCTTCAATTTAATTAAGTTGTAGCAATTAATTACTATTTCGTTTCTATTAAGTTTACTAGTGATCATTTTCAAGATTATCATAAAATTACAGTTTAGTAGTAACATTTTTAAGAGATTTTCATTCACGTAATTTTTTCACTATTTCTTTTCTTTTACTTTTCATGATTATCATAAAATTACCAATCAAATACATTATTCAATCAATAACTACTAATACTAATATAATTTAACTCTTTTTGCATTATTAATCATACGATTTATAGAAATTTGAAAACATAAACCCTCCTAATAATTTAAGAAAATATAAAATGGTTGATCATAAGTATTTTTGTTCTTGTTACCGATATAATCCGCAATGGTTTTGCCATCGCTAAAACGACCTGTTGGTATGCTTCCTTCAAAATTAAAACCATAAGGTGTAAAATTTGCTTTGGCTAACGTCGAAAGATAATTGTTGTTTCCTGGATCAACCAATGAATCTCCGATAACATACAAAGCCGAAAAATTCCCACCAAAAAGCCCGGCCTCTTGTTTACGTCGCTTCTTTGAGTTAATGGTGGAAACATTGAGAAAGCAGAGTAAAAGCACAAGAAGATATGGCGTTAGGGAATAAGGCAAACCCATATCTCGTTTTACTTTTTCAACCCTGCAAATTGAAAATCACAACTAAGAAAAGTTAATAAGAGATAATCGATTTAGAAAGAATCATACAGCTTTCACACACTACAACAAATAATTAAAAAGAATTATGAGCTAAATTTAAAATTTGTGGAGGGAAAAAAAACTATAAATAAAACTTCATAATATATATCCTACAATCAAGGCCGGCCCTGTTATAAAGTTACTAAAGAGTCTCATTTAGGCCACCAAATAGATAAAATCATTTAGAGCCACATTTCTTAATATGTTTCTTTAGCAAAATGGTTCTAATGTCTTAAAAGTTACTTGAGGTTGTGGTTTCATTCTCCATTTCCTCTTCCTTTAGTGATGTCTCCTTTTTTAAATTGTTTTACTTAATTTTCTAAAATAGATATTTTATTTTTTAATTAAAATTATAAAAATAACCACATATTTATGAAATGCTTTAGGTCTCTCAACATCACTCACGGCCCTGCTACAATTATGGATCCAACAGTTTATACGAAAATAATTTAATTTAGAACACTATATTATATCTTCATTACCCGACTTGACGGTGTAAATTCTTTGTTTATCATTCTCTAGTGTTTGGCAAGATTTATTGAGAGAAGTATGCATGGAGGTTTTATTTATATGCAACTGTCTTTATGGTAAGTGGTAACAGTTGCTTGTATATCAAGAAATGCCATCAAAATATTTCGTCCTTCAAAAGGATAAGCACTATAATTAAATAAATATTTAACTTGCTAAGTTATAGAACTTGAATTAGCATATGACCTTGTACCTTTGTGTGTGGAACGTCAAAAAACAAAACAAGAAACCATACTATACTTTCAAAATCGTGGATGAAATTCAGGACCGTGATATTTGCGTGTCTAGCTATAACTTTTTTTTATTAAGGCAGTTATAAAATGTAGGTTAGCCATTAAATGTTTATACCCTAATGATCTAAACTCAATAATAAAACTAAATTTTGAGATATGCTTCACGGAGCTACAATCAACTGTACACATCAACTTCCAGCCGTATCGTTTCAAGCTTAATCCTAAGAAACTCTTCGGGAAATTTATGAAATGTAGCAAAAGGATCAGTAACGTTACCTTACGGAGCCCGAAGAATTATACAGTCTAAGAGAAACTCCTCAAGCAACAAATGAGACAATATCCTTAGAGATTTAATTATCCTCTAGAGCCTTACCTTCATTTTTAATCCACACTTTTTTGTATGCTTTGTCGACTTCTTTCAAGCAACTTCTGTGATCTATAATTCCTCAAAAAAAAAAAAAAAAAACTTCTGTGATCTATATGATCTAAACAATCATATCCGTATACCTTTATTTTTAATGCATTTCAATAGAAAACATTTAATCAGAAAAAAAAAATCATAAAAGGAAAAGGTCTTTAAAATTGCCTTGACTTGGATTACATTCTTCAACTAGATCAAGTAGAACCTACACGAAGACTTGTATAGTTGTTGCTCGAGTTTTATCTAATCAGGTTCATATCATTAACCTCCTTGGGAGTGTGTCTTGCGCCAAGAACTCAAGTATTCCGATCACTCTTTCTCTCAGCTCACGACTCTCTCTCTTTGTGTAAACACAGAAAATAACAAGAATCAAAGAAGAAGATAACAGAAAGACACAAGAATCTGAATCCGATAATCTCGCAAGTGTTTGTGTGAAGTGATTAATGAACCTGAGCCTATATTTCTTATCTATCCCTTTATATATTAAACAATGGTTTAAAAGAACCAGCCTAATAGACAAAACCACTTAACCAGATAACAAATAAACCATACCAATATTAAGTGATCAAACCACCACCATAAAGGTTTGTTTTTGTTTACATTAGAGAGAAACAAATATGATGCAGCATATATGTTGGTGACATCTCCATCCAGGGGCGGATCTAGAAAAAAAATATATCAAGGTCAAAAAATTTGGAATCTTATAACTAATAGGAGTCAAAATCATTAAAAACTAACCAAATAATCATTTTAAATTACAATTATATACCTAAATTCAATAAAATTTAAGAATTAGTGGAGTCATTTGACCACCTAAGTGCCTTATTGGCTCCGCCCCTGTCTCTATCATTTCCAAGATCTTTCTTTTGATTTAGAAGATGTACGTTTATTTAAAGGGAAGATAAGTAAATAAATCCCCAAGAAAACGGTCTTTTTCTTTTGAACAACACTTTCATCAAACAAAAGTTCTAACATCAACAACAAAGCAGGGGAGAAATCTCGAAGAGAAAAACGGTCTTAACGGTCTAAATTCAGACAGACATATTTTTGTTGTCTGAAAAAACTCAAAAAGTGAAAAACATAGCGATTTAATATAAACGGTCTAAACCGGTAAGAGCCACTTAATTTTATTTGAATTCGGAAAGACTAATAATTCGGTTCGGTCTAATAATGTACACAAACGTTCGGGTCCAGTAAAATTTTAAACAAACACAACGGGATAGAAATTGATTTCACAGTTTAAGTAAACTTATAAGCATAAAACAATTCATCATCGATCATATACATAAAAAACCCAAGTCTTTTAACTTTGGTTCAAGGATCTGGTTTGCCTGCAATCGCAATCGCAACATCGTCATCATCATCTTCATCATCGTCAGAACCATATTCCTCTTCACTTAGTTCTTCATCACTAGACTTATCTTCTGAACCTTCCCCTGGTTTTGCATACTTTTCACAGTATTCTGAAAACCAAAAGAACCAAATCCAAACATCACACAAGCACAATGACCCACTAAACTTCCTTAAAACATCGAGCCATTATCAAGACAGTGGCAAGTGAGTCTTTACAATCACATTGCAGATGACCCTAAACTTTATCTTCATGATCAAAAGCTATATATATAATCACATTGCAGATGCTTACAAAAGCTCGGAGAGTTTTACGAAAAAACAGTTCTCACTTCTCACATTAACTAAACAAAAGCTATAATCTAGAGCAAAGAAGCACATATTATTTAGAGGAACATATAGCTTAAGAATGGTAATCGCAAGAACACACACGTTAAGAACAAGTTGAAGATACTAACAATTCTCAGTATCCTAAAGCCATAAACGAAAGAAAAAGCTTCAAGAAACTAACAGTTGAGTTTACCTTTGACTCGCTGTTCATAAGCAGGACGATCACGCATCATCAAGGCAGCAGCTTCTCCATTCAACGGATCTGATGGGTTTGGATACAGAAGAAGCTGAGGAAGAAATGTCTCAAACACATTCACAAGGTCTGTAAAAACATAGAAAGTTAAACCAAATCTCCAGAGCAACAAACAAAGAATCATTTGATTCAAAATATACAAAATCAACTAACTACACATTCTTGATTTGGTCCTTACCGAACATTGGGCTCCAAGTCTGGTTAATCACATCTAAACAAACAGAACCTGACCTGAATAACCAAAGAGACCAAAAGATAAAGATTTTCTCAATATCGAAACATGAACACTGGCCGAGAGTTTATTGTACAAATGAAAGACTCACAGTTCATCAACATTTGGGTGATAAATCTTAGTGATGAAACCAACAGATGGAGATTTGTAAGGATAAGCATCTGGAAGCTCAACTCTTATCTTCCACACACCTCCTTGATACAGGCCTATCAGATAAGAACAACAACACCAAAAAAAAAAAAGAGTATTACTTTTGGCTAATATGAAGAACAAAATCCCAGAAATCAATCAACAATTGCAAAACCCTATCATCATTCATAAGGAGTAGAAATCAGAATCAGAACCAGAATCAAACGACTAAGCATCAGTGTTTGATTAAAGGAATTGGGGATTTAGTGAATCAAAATACGGAAAATCGAAATCGAAGATTCTTACTGTCTTTGGGTCCATTGAATTCAACGAAGAACTCTTGCATGCCATCGTTGATCGTCTCCACTTTATAATCGCTCATCATCCTGAAACAAGATCAAATCAATTTCAACAACACCAACCGACATCGAGAAAAATCAAAATCAAGACAGAGGGACGAGTTATTTACAGCTTCATCATATCCATTTCTCTGCGTTTGCTTGGCGATGACATCTTTTTTGTTTTCTGGGTTCGCTAGATTTCTATGATTTTCTTATTTTCTGGGGTTTTTTTTTTTTTAATTGTTCGTTCGGATTCGAGTGGAGATGAATGAAAATGTGTGAGAGAAAAGAAAAGAGAGCTTTTTATTTTATGTTTTTTTGTATATTTTATTTCTCGCGTACACCGATGATGATCAAGTATTCAAGTGAAGCGAAGACCGTATATCTATATTCCCTTCTCTCTGTCAGTAAATTTTGTCAAAATCTGTTTCAGTGAATTTTGATGCCTTTCAAATTAACCTTTTCCCAAAGAAACTAGGCCCAGATTGTACATTTACTTGCGACGTTTCGAAACTGATACGATATGTCCCTCTTTTGTTTAATTTTAGAACAGATTCACTTTCATTTATTAAATTTTAATTGTAAACGTATAAAAGGGAATCCAATAACTTTTGGAGTATATGTTTAGAAAGTGAGGGTTTATCAACGATGACACTCCCTTTTCTTGTCCTTGTTGGATTGAATTGAAACGGTGACACATTCGAACCTAAAGTAGAGGACACGTTGAAGGTGTACAACAAAATAAGTTGGCTAATGTCAGATCACATTTTCAAAACTTGAATCTCCAAAGAGTATAATTAATTGAGAAACTTTTTTATAATAGCGCAGCACATGTACTGATGTACATGTAACAATATCATTTACTGTAATCTCATAAAATTTGACTTATCAAGGAAATATATCACGCATTTAACAAGTTGAAACAATCAAACATCAATACATTAAAACAGAGGAACTAAATAACACTATGCATAATAATGAACTCAATTTCAGTTTGATTTACCATTTTTCTCAAACCCAAGAAAAAAACTGAATCAAACCAAAACTGAAACCAAAGCTTAAACACTCCTACAAAGAACCTTCTATATGAAAAAAACAAGACTGAACAAAATAAAAATATAACATCTACACGAACTTCATTTTGGTTTTTCCTTTTTCTTTTCACTTTTTGTTTATTCACAGTAGCGAAATCTCAAAGCACAAACCCCTAAAAATTCTTATCTTAAATCTTCTTTTGTAGACGACTTGAAAAGTCTGTACAAACATATATGTATATCAACACTGATATGTAATCGCAACTTGTGGATCAAGAACGTTACTATTCGTGTCTTCTTACCATTTCTTCTTTTCTTTTCTTTACGTTTCTTCTCCTTTTGTTCGGATACAGAGCCTTTCTGGTACTTGTGGATTTGTTAGTCAAGAGGAGAGTCGAACACCATTTCCTGCAAAATCTCAAAAGTTTCTTATTTTGTTCAAACTCTGTATTCTTGAGCAGGAATTGTGGATAGATAAGAACACTGGTCGTCTCTGTTTATCATTTTCTTCAAAGGCACTAAGGATTACTAGAATTGACGATCGGAGATACTGGAGTCGAATCCCAACCGATGAATCCAGGTAAAAATCGCAACTTTAACCATCAAACGAAAAAAAGTTTTGTTTTTTGGTGATGAAATTTCTTAAGTAAATCTAAATCTCTTGCAATGTGCAGGTTCCAGTCAGTAGCATATGTGCAACAGGTATGGTGGTTTGAAGTAGGAGGAGAGTTTAAGATCCAGTTTCCATGTGGAACATACAGTCTCTTCTTCCGTATCCAGCTTGGTAAAACATCCAAGAGACTTGGCCGGAGGAGAATCTGCAACTCTGAGCACATTCACGGATGGGACATCAAGCCTGTGAGGTTCCAGCTCGCGACTTCAGACAACCAACGAGCTGTTTCGCTCTGTTATCTGGACAACAACCCCGGGAACTGGAGTCATTACCATGTTGGGGATTTCAAAGTGGAAAATCCAGATATAGAAACAGGAATCAAATTCTCCATGACTCAAATCGATTGCACTCACACTAAAGGTGGGCTGTGCGTAGACTCTGTTTTTATATTACCTAAAGAAAGTGCAGAAGAAGTCATTCGATCAAAATAGTTTTTGTAGATACAGTAGAGTGAGAGATTGTTGTAAATGGTGAGAGAATCTTTTTTTCTGTGAATCATTCACTATACTTGTACACATGGCCGCTCAAAACATGAATTTTTAACATAAAAATGCTTCCTTTTGTACTGTGAGTCTGTGAAGAAACAGAGTATTGTTTCAAATGAGAAACTAACAGAAATTTTCTAATCAAGAATATGAGGTAGTATCACAGAGAATCTCATCATAAGAGTTCTTATTATTCCTGCATAAAAGCATAAATAAAAGCAGCAAATTTCATTCGAAGGAGCAAAACATAGACTCCTGAGACCACCTGAACACAAGCAGGTTTACTAATGAATATGAAACAAATTATTCTGAAGGCATAGAGAACAAAAGCTTCTTCAAGGTGTCTTCAACTTGGGGCGAGACGGAAGCAACTGCGTATTTACAGAAAGATAAACGGATTGTTATTCTAAGAATCTGATGTGAGCTTGGAAACGGGTTTTGTGGAAAGGAAGAGAGAGTTAGTTTACCTGATAACAAGAGATAAGCGAGGTGGTAAACCCGAGAGCTCCAGTGACGCGAGGAGTAACAGTCTTTGGAGCTAGCTGAAGAAGACCAATGGCTACAAGAATGTCCATGCTTGATTTAACCAAAGCTAGAGTTCTGTCGTTTGATTTCTGAAGCTTAGCACGATACAGCTCATCATCATCTTTGTGTTCCTTTTCCATCTTCTTCATAGATGAAGAGAGCCTTCCAAGCTCACCAATCTGATACACATTGAGAAGATCAAGACCGGTATGTATGTTTTACACACAAGCAAATCAAAACGTCAAGAATTAGGAGAAGAGTAGATAGAAACCTCGACTGCTGATGTACAAACAGATGATCCAAGCCAGCAGAAAAGTGATATACGTCCAATCAATTCAGTTCGTTCTTTGTTCTGCCATGCGATCAGAACAAAGCAAGAATCTTTCAGTCACTTAGCAGAGAAAATGAAACATCAAAACTTGATTAGACCGATTTTGTCTCACCTTGTATATGCCGGATCTACCAAGCCAGACGATTTGATCAAGAAACAAGAAGGTAGACAAGAGAGCATTCTTCGACTGAAACGGATCAAACCAAACAACACAAGAACAAAAGTTAAGAGATTGAATCAAAAACAAGATATGATGTTGTAAGAACTAAACATCTCTTTTGGCACCTTTCCGAGCAAGACAAGAGGAAGCGGAGTTCCTTTAGGCACAGGGCTGATAAGACCGTGAAGATCATTGACAAACTGCAACACATTTGAAAAGCCATTTTATCTACTCAGAAAATCAAAACAGTGAAGCCAATTCCAAATCCAAACAGATTAAAGATAGAGAGATTTGTTGACCTTGAAAAGACGGAAGACTTTTCTGGCCAAGCTGGTGTTTTTGTCGACGGTTTGAGCAGTACCAGGTTGTCCACCGCTCACGAATTTGGAACCGTACTGAATAGCTCTGCAAATCTTGTCTCTAGCCTCTGCTCTGTTCAAGTAGAGCACTACCAGAGCTAGCTCCGCTCTCGTCAAATCTAATGTAGTCATGTTGTTTCCTCTGCCAACAAAACAGAAACTAACTACGATTCAACAAAGATTACATAAGTTCAGAGAAGGGCCTGTCTCTAATTCCATTTTTGTCTTGTAAATATGAACCCAAGAAACATTAGAGAGCTATAGCAAACATTCAACCTTTAAATTCTCGCAAGCAAAAAAACTTTCAGGGCAACATTTGATTCATAACTCATAAGAAACCTAGAAAAGTGTTAGATTTATGCCGGAAAATTAACTTCATCAGCAACGAGAAAGACTAAGCACAACAATGCGATTAGCAAGGTAAGAAGGTAAAATCTAAGGCACCTTTAAGCTGAAAACGTTCGGATATTGAGAAAATCAAAGAAATTGGGATTTTGTTTACCTCAGATAAGATGATCTCTCTCTATTGTTGCGACGACTCTCGGGAAATCAATTCAGGCTTAAAAAGATGCAAAAGCCCAGAAATATTAGAAATTAGAAGAAAATATCGAAACTTTAAGGGAAAGGGATCTGAAATTCAGTTGGAGACACTGTATGCTGTTCTGTTCTTACTTATAATGTCATTTAATTTGGATTTGGAGATAAAAGGCGTGTTGGCTCATCTTTCTATCTTTTTCCTTCTTTGTAATTAAACCAAACGCACCGTTTTCAATCAGCGATCTTAATCTCACGATTGCTTCACTTCTAACCGTCGATTCTGTCTGAAATTAAAATATTGTGGAAACCCATTTCGTGTTAAAAACGTTCCATGTCCATATATGCACTTTGATCCCTATCCCCCCACCCACATCATCTCTGGCACACCTATCGAGTAAGGAGCTAAAACTTGAAAATCAGTTAAAACGCCGCGTTCTGTTAAGTTAATGAGTTGTGTAAGTTTTGGGGAATGTTAACGGGCCTTTAAAAAGCCCATACTTATAATTAAAGATAGCCTTGTGAATAACGGCCACATGAAGTGAAGAAAACCAGAGCCGGAGAAGAAAATGGCGGTAGCTTCTCTTGGTATTTGCTTCTCTGCTCGGCCAAATCTTCTTCTTCGCAGTTTATCTCGACCCACACACTCTGCTAGTAAGTTCTTCTTTACCATATGCTGCGTACCAAATTACGAAATTGTGAATTTTGGATTGCGTACCAAATTCAGTTACTGTTTTGAAGACTCTCCAATCAAGTCAAAACTCGCTCTAGTTACTTGATAATCAGTCAATAGAGTGTTTTTGCTATTTGAGTTTCACTTCACTGATGAGATTTCACCTGTTTCTTCATTGGTAGTGGCTGCAATGAGTGAGGATCCAATTCGGGAATGGATTCTTACAGAAGGGAAAGCGACTCAAATCACAAAGATTACTTCTGTTGGCGGTGGATGCATCAGTCTCGCAACTCATTATCAGACTGATGCTGCTTCTTTCTTCGTTAAAACCAACAGGTCAAAAGAAACTGAAGTGTCACTACTTTTCTTCTGAGATTTATATACCAATCAGACTTTTAATTTGTGTTTTATGTAACACTGGTTTAGGAGTATTGGACCTGAGATGTTTGAAGGAGAAGCTCTTGGTCTTGAAGCTATGTATCAAACCAGAACAATCCGTGTCCCCAAGCCACACAAAGCAAGTCATGAAACTACTGTTCTTTAATTTGCTATTGGTTTCCTGAAGTCTGAATATAGATTCTTGCTTGAAAATGTTAATAGGTTGGGGCATTGCCAACTGGAGGATCTTTTATCATAATGGAATTTGTAAAGTTTGGGTCATCAAGAGGCAACCAGGTGATTGATTGATTAATGATTGAATCTAACTTTTGAGCTAAATGTTAATAAACTTTTAGTTTCCATTGGTTCATGATTCTTTTTTAGTCATCAGGCTGAATTAGGAAGGAAGCTAGCTGAGATGCATAAAGCTGGAAAATCTTCAAAAGGCTTTGGCTTTGAGGTTGACAACACTATTGGCAGGTTTTGAATGAAATTTTCAATTCTTTTTCCCTTTTTGAGTGAGTTTTTTTTCTGCCCTCTCACGACGCAATGTGCCTGTTTTAGTACCCCACAGGTCAACACTTGGTCATCGGATTGGATCGAGTTCTATGGTGAGAAGAGATTAGGTTACCAGCTTAAGCTAGCTAAGGATCGTTATGGTGACTCTGCAATCTACCAGAAAGGTTTTTTCTTTCTCTCTTCTTCTCTGTCGTTATTGAGAAGAGACTTGTTTGGTAACATTTGACGGAAGTTTTGAACAGGTTGTACACTGATACAGAACATGGCGTCTCTCTTTGAGGATGTTGTTATAGAACCTTGCTTGTTACATGGAGATTTATGGAGTGGGAATATCGCATACGACAAGAACAGCGAACCTGTCATTCTTGATCCTGCCTGTTACTGTATAAGCTTTTTCATTTATAAGTTTTCTTGATATATAATTTACCATTTTGCAAGCATGTTTTGATCTCATTCCTCCATAGATGGTCATAACGAGGCGGATTTTGGAATGTCGTGGTGCGCTGGATTTGGAGAATCTTTCTACAATGCCTATTTCAAGGTTGCAACACAGAGAGACACACATTCTTCATTTTCTCTCAGTTTCTGTATCAATATTTGTTGTTGTTTCTTTGACTTCGTCAAGGTAATGCCAAAACAACCGGGATTTGAGAGGAGGAGGGATCTGTATTTGCTGTATCACTACTTGAATCATTACAACCTCTTTGGCTCGGGATATCGATCCTCTGCAATGTCGATCGTTGATGATTATTTACGGATGCTCAAAGCTTGAAATGGACAAGCTGATGAAGGAAGCTGCCTCTGGGGATCTCTTGTGTGTTGCCTATATATGTACAAGCTAGAGATAGTATTAGTACATATAGCTGAAGGGTTTAATAGTCATTAGTGTTTCCCTAATCTCTTGTGTGTATCACTATATATATTGTACATCATTGTGTTAATAAACGCAACCCATTGACAATCCATACAAGCTTGATATTGTAAAGGGAAGGCTTACTAAGTTTATAAACAAAGTTGAGAAGTTTGGTTCTTCTCACAAGCGACGTGGGACAATGTAAAATTGGAAGCATGTTCGACTTGAAACGGTGATTTTTCCTACAGGTTTGGGTTAGTAGAGACTGAGTAATGAGATGTGATTGTTAAGAACGTAGTCATTTACCATTGTACAACAAAGTTGATATGGCCGAGTTGGTCTAAGGCGCCAGATTAAGGTTCTGGTCCGAAAGGGCGTGGGTTCAAATCCCACTGTCAACAATAGTTTTATGTTTTTTTTCTAGATTTACATCGTTTAATAAATTTCTCCAATCTAAGGTTGAAAGTGATAATTGTAATAGTAATCACATACACTTATACCCTGATCCACTCTCATCTCGCCGAAACCTTGGCAAAAGAAAGGCTTTTTATATTTTCTAAATGAAACCAGAGTCTGATTACAATGGATGTATCAGTCTACAGTTTCTGTGTTTT